TCTTCACAAAAACACTTGTAAGTGTATCATTGTTTTCAGTTTTGCCAAAGGTTTACTGTAAAATTTTGGTGAATTACTGCTTTGTGTTAAGCAAGTGGTTACTATTAATTACTTAAGTTTGAAAACAACAATTGACCACATTAGTGTGAGGTTAGTTTTACGCCGCTCTTAGCAATATTCCAACAATATCATGGCAGGGGACACCAGAAATGTGCGTCACACATTGTGGGGAATCAAACCCCAGTCTTCGGCGTGACAAGCTAAGGCTTTAAGCACGAGGCTACCGCATCATCCCATTGATCACAGTAAATAGAACCCAGTCTGGGACCCTGTATGTGCCCCATCCAGCTCATCCCAATCATGTCCTCGCATTTCGATAGAGTAGTTGGTGCAAGCTTTTGGAAAAACACAATTTACAGGAGATGTAATCTGAAAGCAGAATGAACATTGTTGCTTTCAAACATGAAGCATGATAAAAATTTAAAAACCCATTTGGATTGAATATGCAATAAATTGTTAATGCTACTTGCTTAGAGCCCCCTAATATCATTGTCTCTTGTTATTTACAACGAACGGCATCGGGAGGTTAGTTTTGCTGACTTGTTTAAAAGGTCATCATATTCCAGTATCAATGCTCATGATGTTGATCACTGGATTGTCTGGTCCAAACTCCATTATTTATAGTTGGAATGTTGCTGAATGTGACGTTAAACTATAAACAAACAAATTATTACTCAGAAACATAGTTGGCATATGTTATTTGATTTTCTTTAGCTCTTGTGTGTTGATTTGTTGAAGGACAAATTTAAGGTCTTTTCATATCACCTCCAAAGGTAATATTGATAAATTGCTGTTACTGACTCTTTATGGTGATTCAAGTTACTGATGATTAACTCTGACCTAAGTCGTTGATGTTTTTCAGTAATTTAAGTTACTCTCACACTACATGGTAACTTGAAGAAATTCCTATACTGATGCGCTTCCACCACTGCGAATAAGGCTAACAGAACCTGAAGATAATAACAGGAACCTGAAATGATATTAACAGGTGCAGACTGTTTATCAAGCTTGAGATCTGAGATCAGCAAAAAAGAAGCATTCTTCAAAAATGTTTAAATCCACCTTTCATTCACATCAAATGGGCACAAGCTAAGAATATGTGTTTTGTTAATTTTGAGTTGATTGAAAGTGTGCCCAGTACCTTGTTGGAATACTTTGTGGAAAGTTGTATATCATTCGTTATGAGTGATCAAGTTATGTTTTTCTGTACTTTTGTTTCCAGACTGTCTAAAAAATCTCAAGATAACGAAAATATGTTGGTCGTCCTACAGGGTTTTAAAAATGGCTGCAACCTTGGTGTGGTTGTACTTTCACGGCATGTTAGATAACCTCTAGCCCTATGACAACATACTTGTACCAGGACCAGTACAACCTGTACAGAATATCCCTCCCTCCAAGTCCACCGACAAATCAACCAATCACACTGGTACCTGTGCACGATCTAGTGATCACGATTAAGTGTTCACGTGTTGACAAGCCTTGTGTTATTCGGTTATCAGTGTTAGGGCAAGTTATGTCAAAAGGGACTTGGTGCGATTGACTTGCACAATTTTCTAGGTGACCTGTAGTTCTTTGCCTGTTTGAGTGGATATGAGGATTTGTGGTAGGTCAGTTCAGGTCAAGCAGCCTGACTTGGCCAGCAGGAAAGTGATGTCCGGAATAGATTGTTGGGGGATCGGGATGATCCACTTGAGGTCCAAGTGGTCATGTTGTCATTGTGAAGCAATATCCAGACTCCTCGACTAATCTGTTTCACCCTGTGGTGATACAGGGTTAGGATTGTCACCAGTATAATAGAGGCTGATCATATAAGGCGTCCAAATTGTTCAGGGTGATCAGTGAGTGAGTTTAGTTTTATGCCGCTTTTAGCAATATCACTGCAGGGGACACCTGAAATGGTCTTCACATATTGTGCCCATGAGGGGAATCAAACCCGGGTCTTTGACGAGATGAGCGAAAGGTTTAACCACTAGGTTACCCCACCCCCTCACAGGTGATCATACTCGGTGACTTGGCTGACAGCGTGGCCTTTTACTCTGACAGCTTGGGGTGTTGCTCACAAAATCTATATCACTGGATTGTGTGATCCAGATTTGATTTACGTCCTGACCCTATACAGCTGGACTATTGTGGTGCAGCTTTAAACAACAAACCCACACCCACACAAACTGTTTCAGTACCATAACCCAAACATCTAACCTACCTTGCCTAATATTAAAATAATGTCCATTTTGTAAGTTAATCAGACTAATTTAAGTCAATTACTTATCCCCCACCGCGCGGTTTGCGCGAAGTGGAGGATATCGTATTAGGATCCGTCCGTCTGTACGTACGAATTGGAATATCTTAAGGACCGTTGACTGGATTCTTTTCATATTTGGTACCTCACAGTTCATCACAGTAAATGAAAGGTCCCAGTCAGGTTTGGTGACCTTGACCTTCATTTCAAGGTCACAAGGGGACTTTAACGTTTTACCCTTGTCAGTTAGATATCTCAAGAACAGTTAACTGGATTTTTTTCATATTCAACATTAAGCTTTATCTAATAAAGGCGCAGAGCCGAGTCGATTTTGGTTACCTTCACTTAATTTTCAAGGTCACGGCGACACTTTGAAGATTTCAGCATGTTAACCTGCATGTAAAGATTGTCAGCAAGATATCTCAAGAACTATTCACTGGACTTTCTTCATATTTGACACCAAGCTTCATCTAGGGAAGGTGCAAGTTCCAGTCGATTTTGGTGACCTTCACATAATTTTCAAGGTCACGGCAACACTTTGAAGATTTCTGCATGTTAAGCTGCATGTAATGATTGTCAGCGAGATATCTCAAGAACAGTTCACTGGATTTTCTTCATAGACTTTCAAGACATCCCTTGAATGTTTTTCAATAAGCATTTTCTTTATTACTATTTTTGCATATTTCATACACTAAGACATTCATGTCAAGGTCAAAGTGAGTCTTGAAAATATTTGTGCGAGGTTGACTGGTCATGTTTTTGTTGACATTTAACTTCATCTTAAATTACGACCTTCACTTTCATTACTTTTTAAGTTTGATTTGATAATTTGCAGCGGGGGATTATGTCACCTTAGTGAAAATGCTTGTTGTTATTTGGTTTGGATCCCCTTCAACAGTTTGGAATAAACAAAATATGGACGTCATAGGAGGCAAGGACAGAATAGGTCACTAGCCCTCCCTTGCTTGTTAGTAACATGTGATTAATTGGGTCAAGGGTTTAGGATCGGGAATTGGTTTACATTATGACCAATGTCACGCACCACTGAGATTATAAGGCATGTCAATCCACTGGTTTGTTTGGTTCTGGCTTGCTTGTTTATAGGTCATGATGATAAGGCCAGAATATTGGCAGGAATGTATGTTGGCATTTGCAGAGACCTATATTTTGCTCCATATCTGATTCTATTGTTGATTAATATTCCCAAATCAAAGGTTTAGAAATATTCCAATAATAATTATGATAAATCATAACTGTATATGTGATAGATCTGCATATGGAACTAAGTTTGATGTTATTGCATTTTTAAAGTCTGTTTGCAGTGAAAACGTACTGATGAATTTCACTTTAAACAAAAAAGTAAATCGAATAAAGTGAAATTTCTCATAATTTTATCTTGCCAATTGAACATTTATGTCTCAAAATTTTATTCCACTTAGCATAAAAGTTGTTTAACAAATGATCATAGTTTCAAATCGCTATCATTGGTTTGTATTACAAGGGGGTATGCACATTAAATGAAACACCGAGAACAAGGAGGGTTGGTCTAAGTTAACACTCGTACCATACATGCTTTTGTTTCACTGTTACATCTACTGCGCTTACCCCTTGTAATACAAACTAATAATAGCAATTTGAATCTATGATCATTTGTTAAACAACTTTTGTCCTAAGTTGAATAAAATTCTGAGATTTAATGTTCAATTGACTTTTTCACTGCAAACAGACTATATGTAAAGAACACTTCTGAATGTTTGACCTCAAAGCACTGTACAAAGATTTCCATTTTTCATTTTTTAAGAATCAGATGTGTTTTATATTCAGTTCACCTTCCACAGGCTGTTAGTTTGAATTGTTGACTGCAGGGTAAAACTAAAATTAACCAAAGAAGCAAATATGAACTACATTTTAACATGATTAATATTGAAAAAAAAAAATCTTTTGTTTAATGACACTGATTATTTAGCCAAATTAAATCTGATAACAGGATACAGCAATGTCATTAAAGAGATAACCAGTTTTCTGTTGTCTTGATTTTTTTAAATTTTTGCAACAAAGCTACATCATAAACAGTTTTAATAATAGTTAGACAAAGACATTATATCAGCTAACATAGAGACTAGTGAAAATCTTGAAAAGAAGACAATTATCCCAAATCTGGTTGTGGACTCTTGGTGTTTGCATCACCCTGTATATCTGATGTTTTTCATCTCAACATTTTCTCCCGGTTCTCAGCACAGACCAAGGGCAGATAACTATATCACCATTTCAGTGACAGGGTCTTTAATTTACTGCCTCTGTTTTCTTTGTTTGCATATTCTATATCCAAGAAGGGTGCCGTTGGTTTGAGTTTGCTATCCATCAAATAAAAACAAAAGACAAGATTACAAGTTTCTTATGAAATCAAATGATACTGTGTACATGTACTTTCAATTTGTGTTTTCTTTTATGAAAAGAAAGTAGATTTTGGCTCAAATATAAACATGGTAAAGGCCCAAAACATATTTATCATGTTGACAGATAAAATGAACATGATACTAAATCATTCAGCAAAAATTATAATTAATTTACTAAAATGTGTGAATTGTTTCTGGAACTTTGTACAAGCATTATTGTATTCTTATTGTATTCTGCCCTGTCTTGCCTTGTGTCGCTGCAGTTTAAGACAATGTGTAACTGACTGTCTGATGTTGTTTCACAGCTGACCTACTGAAGAACACTGGCGAGTTAGTGGATGCCCTACTAGATCAGGATGAAGAGCTTTGTGGAGGATGGGCAACTCAGGAACTGGTGGAGTCTCTCCTGGAGGCTGTCAAACAGATAGGGTAAGTTTCCTGGGGAAATCAAGGTAACTTGAGCCTCACTGTGTCACCTAGCCTCACCTAGCCCCTTGGCAATTACAGATTAAAATAGTTTGTATTATCTGATCTGTATTATCTCTAAAGGGTTAACATCCATGTGAAAATATTTTTTCCGCCCACTGTTGGATCACAGACTTGTTGTATGTGCTAACTTAATATTATTCATAGAAAAGGCATGAATAATTGTTCAGACTATCAACCACTGGTTTTCTGGACCAGCTTTGATGAAGTACAGGTGGACACAGTATAGCTCGAATGTTGCTGACTGCGTGCTCACCTGACCACCAGTATACTGAACTACATACTCTTATGCACTCTACAACCCTCCAGGGAGGTGGGGTAGCCTAGTGGTTAAAGCATTCCCTCGTCACACTGAAGACCCAGGTTTGATTCCCCACATGGGTACAATGTGTGAATCCCATTTCTGGTGTCCCCCCACCATGATATTGCTAGAATATTGCTAAAAGAGGCGTTAAACTAAACTCACTCACTACAACCCACCGTCTTAAACAACCAACTTGGCCAGTCACTCGGCCTACTGCCTGCCCACCTATCTGACCACCCACTTATATAGTCACTTACTCACTTGCCCACCCCCAACCCCATCCAGTCTCTCAATCATCCATACACCCACTCACTCGTCTTCCCATCCAGTCTCTCAATCATCCATACACCCACTCCCTCGTCTTCCCATCCAGTCTCTCAATCATCCCTACACCCACTTACTTGTCTTCCCAACCTGTCTCTCACTCACCCTTCCTGTTGTAACTGGGGTGGTGGGGTAGCCTAATGGTCAAAGCATTCGCTCATCATGCTGAAGACCCGGGTTCGATTCCCCACATTGGTATAATGTGTAACGCCCATTTCTGGTGTCCCCTGCCATGATATTGCTGGAATATTGCTAAAAGCGGCGTAAAAACCATATTCACTCACGGACTCCTGTTGTAACTCTTTCTTCACCTCTGGCAGGTACAGCCACAGTGAGACACTGGAGACATTCATGCACATCTTCCAGTTACTGTCTACGTCAGAAGAAGGGGTAGCAGCTCTAGGTATGTACAGAGATATCTGAGACATGACAGTCAGTCTTAGGTAGTTAGAGAGGCGTCTGAAGCAGGGTAGCTGCTCTAGGTAGGTACAGTGTCTGAGGCAAGGACAGCTCTGAAGCTTCAAGCTTTAGGATAGACATGATAATTTAATTGCATTTACTGGCTTGCTTGAAACTTGAGGCAACATCAAAACAACAAATACTGTAGCAAATATTAAATCGTTTATTGAATGAAAATGTAGCAAGCCATGTTGTTCAGCCTTGAACTGGAACCTGGCCTAGTATCCATAAAATTTCCAGTGATGATATTTAAATCAAGGACTTTTTGAATGACAGAAGAGGTCAACCTTGTGAGAGGGCAGCTGAAATTTGAATGGTTTCTTCTGTTGATGTGTCATAAACACTGATGAAGACATGTCCAAGGGGAGATAAGTAAAGACATTATCTCCCCTTGGCCTGACAAGCTTTGAACTGGCAAGCAAATCCCTGTAGTTCATTTTGTGGTCAGTATCTGTGGATGAGTTCATGGTAAGTTAATCATGTTTATTACACATCTGACTCTTGTTATTTGTGGTGCTCTGTTGCAGTTCTGTGTGCAGATGTTCTTCAGATCCCACTTTTGAAGTATCTACTGAGCGTATGCGAGTACGAGATCGTCGGGCTAGATGGTCATGAGGGCTGTCTGGCGTCGGCGCTGTCTGTGCTGAATGTGCTGTACAGCTCCTCACCAGATGTTGTAGATAAACTCTCATCAGGTACTGTGTATCATGGAGGATATAAAGACAAGGCGTTTTGCCTTTACCATTAACATTGTAATTGTTAAACCTAGTGGCCCCAGAAGGCCAGGCTATAAAGTGGATCTGATAGTCAGATGCTATTAAGTGTATTGTGTGGCCAGGCTTCTTGTGAGAAGCTGTAAAGTGGATTTGGTGGTCAAGCTTGTTGTGAGGAACTATTAAGTGGATTTGGTGGTCAAGCTTGTTGTGAGGAACTATTAAGTGGATTTGGTGGTCAGGCTTAAATGGCATGTCCATATTGTTTTTTTTCTTTATTTTGGAAGTAAAATCAATGGTTATCTTCAACTTTTATTACTTTTCCAGCCCCAGATCTTATCCGAATCCTGCTGAAAATCTTGGAACCCTTGTTCCCACTCCTTCCAGAAAACTCAGAAAAATTGAACAACATTTCCAAATATTCCAACTCAGTCACCAACCATCCAGACAAATCATCAGAAGAGGAGTCAGAAAAAACAGAGTCCAATGCAAATGGACACATTACCAAAGACACTGTTGACACAGAGGGTGCAGAGGAAAACCAGATGTCCACTGAGGAAGTGGCAGGTCCTACACCAGCAGAATCTCGGACCACAGAGGCAGAAGTTCACAAGTACAGACTGTTGTATGGAGTGCTGCAAGACTTCCTGCATGATGTGGTCGTGTCTTTGGTAACAGTAAGTGTTTTAACTAATTACCTGCAGCTCCATCCTTAAACATCATTGATGCATTTGAGATGCCAGTATTATTGTAGACTCAACTGGGTTTTCCCGGACAGCAGAGGTCCAGAATAACCAGTGCTTGTGTCACTGTAGAGAGATGAAAGTCACCATAGGTCTCAGGTACCAAATGTTTGTCTCCCTTTGAGGTTTCCCAGTCTGCATAGGTCTCAGGTACCATATATTTTTCCTTATCCTGACTCATGCTTAACACTTGTATCTCCTATTGGAGCTCCCTTCGATAAAGAACAGACGTAAAATCACTCCTCCCAAGAGTTATCTCTCCAGCTGTTTAGGCGGGAAACTGTGGCGCCACTGTCCCCACATGCTTCACTCTCTCCTTCTTCGCCCTGTGGGCAGGTTGTGAGAGCGCCTGTGTCTACTATACGGCACTATATCCTTTAATTACTTAGTTATTCTCCTCTATTCTACTTTTATAGAGGTTTAGTTAGTATCCTTCAACATTATGGTTTGATATTTAATCGTATTTAGCACTGTTTATTCTCGCAATTGTCCGTGTTTGTTCAGTTGTTTACATTTCATGAAAACCTATTTTCGTTGTAGGTTTAGGTTCGCTGCTGCAAACCCACATTGATTGTGCCCTAGCTGCACAACAACATGTACTTCCAGCTATAGCTGTAATCTTTATCAGCATTTAATAGAAATTCACTTTAATAAATAATTTTTCTCTACTTAGACGTACTACTGACAAATCCAGGTGACTTTCCAAGTCATGGATAACTGGCTGAGTCTACTGCTGTTAGACGACTTACTACCATCAAGTGACCTGCCGGAGGTGTCCTCGGAGGATGGGCGTGGGATGTTGTCCGCCATTACTTCGAAGACGTTGGCTTCTCCATCGGACAACCCCTCAACGCAGACGTAGAAGAAGAAGCCATCCTCTACGCAGAATGAAGCCTCGCAGACATCGTCCTGATGGCAGTGAGATGACTTCATGATGAGCCGCTGCTGATCATCCCAGAGATACAGCACGCAGTCCGAGGGCGACAGATGAGCGATCCCTGGACCATATTGCTATCAACGCAGAGAGGGCAGCTCTACAATCATCGCAGACGATGTATAGAAGCCTTCCTCTACCCAGAGAAGGCTACACACCCCTCCGATGACGACCAACTCTACGGGGATGTCTGCGCAGACTACAAGGACTTTCTCTGCTGAGATTGTCCCGATGACGATGATCAACCGATCTTCATCCCAGAGGTTCATCCCAAGCAACGACCGGTCTCAGCTACGGTGACGTCAGCGCAGATCTCTACTCAACCCGAGGTATCAACGTTGACAACAGATGACCGTCCAGTGGGCCCCTTCGATGTCATCGCAGAAAGGGCAGCGCCAGTACCACCGCAGATGATGGAGCAGCGTTACGGCCTGGAAAAGAATTCACAGCCAGCTCAGGTCGCTCCAACGCAGACGTCAGCTCGGAGGGGCCCTCCATCAACGTGACTTCTGCCAGCAGAACTACACTCCCGGACCAGCCTGCGCGAAGGTCGACTCAACCATCCCCTGCGGCGGACTCGGACGATCAGCGTTCGCGAAGGAGGAATCGCCCATCCCCAGATACAGCATCAGACGACCAGCGTTCGCGAAGGTGTTCGCGAAGGACCAGTCGCCATTCCCCAGATGCGGAATCAGATGTTCAGCGTTCGCGAATGCATTCGCGAAGGAGGAATCACCCATCCCCGGATACAGAATCGGATGACCAGCGTTCGCGAAGGACCAGTCGCCATTCCCCAGATGCGGAATCAGATGATCAGCGTTCGCTAAGGCATTCGCGAAGGACTTCAGATACAGTATCCAAGACAGCTTCGACATCATGCAGATCGTCGAGGGATTCGCCGAGACATCCGCGAACCCACAGTCGCTCATCTCCGCGCAGGTCACCCTACAGACGCAGTTCGCCAGGCCACTCCCCACGCCGATCTCCACGAAGGTCTCAGCGCAGGTCGTCACGCAGGTCTCCACGCAGATCCCCAGCGAAGCAGAGTCTTCATGCTGTCAACAAGCCTGCGCGAAGGCATTCGCGCAGGCCATCTACAACGCAGAGTGCCACAGTACTTAGATTCTCAACAGAACGCTACATACCATCACCGAGCCTGCGCGAAGGCATTCGCACAGGCCATATACAAGGCAGAGACGTTGCAGTATTTTTAGCTTCTTAACAGAACGCTACATGTCATCTACAACTTGCGCGAAGGACGGCGCTATCTTCAGAGACTGTCAACAGATGATGAACCTAATAAAGGATCTTCAGGCCGACTACCTACATCAATGGCATCAACGACGCCTCGCAGATCATCACGGGAATCACCATTTTGGAATATATTGCCAGGAAGGCAATCCTGGACTACGAGACGATTACCTACACGCAAGGCGCCATACAGCACACCACGCCAACCACAACACAGATCGCTACGCAGATCTTCAAGGTTATTCAACCAGGACACGAGGTAGCGTCATCCTAGAAGGGGAAGATCGTCGTCGGTACACAGACTGAAGAACATGTAATACAGTTCAAGAGGGGTACTCTTGTCCGAATTCATCACCGGCACGGATCTTCAGACTGAATCCAGGATTCACATAGATTGATATATCTACATGAGAAGACACATGGCCATATAGAGATCTTCACTTTCGTACAGATCTGCAGATATTCTCACTGGCGGGGTTCAACAGCAGCCTTGCTACGGCTAGGAAAATACATACTCGTCAACGATTCCCTGAGCAGAATTTACAACAAGTTCAGCATTAATTCTACAATTACGACGCTTCATTGATGTATGCAGTCTACAAGCTGACAACGTGAAGATTTCAGTTGATCATCTGTATAAAGGGCGACGGCATTATCTTCAGGATTGAAGTAACAGTCACAGCAGCCAGGAAAACAAGCTACCCACATCGTTATTACGTGGCGAAATATTTCGCGCATTTCCCATTCAACCCTCGATACACGTGGTCATTCGTGTAACTATGGAAGGTTACGGACAAGACCGACGGTTGATCAGATATCAAAGGCGGCACTAGATTCTACAAGGACCTTGTTCCTGCTACACCGGTGACGTCACAGCGCGGCAAGCCAAAGGAATCAAAATGCTTTATTTTGATTGGACCACGAGAGACAACGCCCTGCGCAGAGGTCGGACGAAGTTCACAGGTCAAGAAATGGGTTACAAGTGACAACAACATGTCAGCGATCGAGCGAGGAAGGCCTCCATTACAGTCCAGTTAGACGGGACCTACGTGATTTGGCTGCCTTCATGGGGTTAGAGACCTTCCCTGTCATCATTGAAGACGATTCTTCAGACGACTTGCAGCAACATACGTTGGCCGGACTTAGGTGGCGGCAACCAGACGACTTTTATATAGACTTCCCAACGATGGCAGTCACAGAGTCAGACATCGCTTCATTTCCCTTACGGACACGGTAAGGGTTTCAAGATCCTAGGATATAGATACAAGTCCTTGTATCTCAAGCACTACTTTCTCCGTTATTACTACGAAGTGGCGGAATCTGTTGGTTCTTCTCACGTCAGCACAAGACATGACACGCAGAGAGAGTCTACAACTACGCCCACTACAGGTCTTCGTGAATGTACATCTGGACGATCCGAACCCCTTCGGACTCCCGGACAGATTAAATCCATATCTAATATGGTGGACTCAGAGATAGGAGGGTCGCAGACGCACCTATTTAGCAGAGCCGCAGTACAAGACGCATCTCTATGTGGACGCATCTCTCCAAGATTGGGGAGCACACCTCGACAACAATGTGTCAGCTGGGATATGGACCATAGCAGAGAAGATCTGCACTTCTACATGCTGGAAATGGAAGCAGTGATAAACGCCATACTCCACTGGATCAGCATTTTGAAGAATGCTCATCTGACGGTACATACAGTCACCTCCACAGTGACGGTCTACATCCACAGAAGGATCAACAAAGTCGGCGAACCTTCTGGACCTCTGCTTTCAGCTGGTCAGCATAACAGTCAACCTGAATGTCCACATCAGAGTATGCCACATTCCAAGAACCAAGAATGTGATAGCAGATGCACTATCTTGTCCAACGCAGCCATTCTCAACAGACTGGATGCTACATTCAGAGATCTTCAAGCAGATCATACAAGAGATGGTAGCACCATTAATAGACCCACAAGGGTCAACTTCACCACAAGGGTCAACTGATAACATTCGTCTCACCAATACCAGATCCACGGGCATGGGCAACGGACACGCTAAGCATCTGGCTAGGACTAAACGCTTGCGCGTTTTCTCCACCAGCTCTAATACCAAGGGTATTGCAGAAACCAGTCAGGCGAGAGACCCACAACTACTTGGGGCACGCCTTTTTGGCCAGCGAGAATATGGTTCCCTATTCTCATACAAGACCTAGGACTGCCTCAACTGCAACTACCAGAGTGGACGAATTTACCAATACATCCTCACACAAAGCAGGCGCACGGCAACCCAGAGGTGTTCCGGCTACACGTGTGGACTGTATCAAGGCATGCTTGAACGAGAGAGGATATTTCGCCAGGGCAGCGAAAGCAGTCACACGACCTTTACGCAAGTCTTCACGCAACTTGTCTGACGACAAGTGGTGACGCTTCGAGACAAATGATACGTTTCGAGGATCGTCTTCACAGCCATGATAGTGACACATCCTCAAGTGGCGGACTACCTTTGTCACCTAGACAAAGGAAACGGTTAAAAGGGTCAACACTCTCAACATACCTAGCGGCATTAAGCTCAGTTATCGCCATGAGGACGAGTGCAACTGACAAAAGTACCAGAGTCACTGGCCTTACTACGCCCTTTTTATTGGAGGACCAACATCAGAGATGTGAAACCTTTATAGAGTTCTTGACGCAGAAGACGCTGTTCCTGATAACCTTAGTAACAGCAGCAAGGATGTCGGAAATACATGCTCTGAACTTCGAGGGAACACGATTTGATGAAAATCAAAACATCGTGCATATGGGACTGAGATGGGACTTCATAGCATAGAATCAACTGCCAGGTCATCCAGACAGACAGTTCCACGTCCCAACACTATCATCAGTCCTTGGACCACAGGATACGCAGGTCCTATCCTTGTACCCAATGAGAGCATTGAAAGTCTACCAACAAAGATCCAGGTCCAGGTGACGGAAATTCAAGTGTCTTTTCGTCTCGATATAGACAGCGACACAGACGGAGGTCTGCCGCACTAAAATATCAAGCTGGGTCAGAACTGTCATACTACGGGCCTACAAAGCAGCGGGACTTGATCCTCCAAGAGTCTCCAACCCACATGAAGTTAGAGCTCTGGTGTCAACGCTCGCTCTACATGGGAATCGCTCTATCAGTACGATAATGGAGGGCTGCTTCTGGAAATGGGACAGGATGTTTGCCAACCACTACCTGAAGGACATCGCCACTGAGGACGTCTCTGGCATTCACCATTTCGGCCCACTTGTTGTAGCACAACAATTGACAGTCCCACAAAGGCGCTGAGACGGAGTCTCGCCCTTTTATCACATGACTTACAAAGCCTACACTCCGGAGAGTTTTGCTTAAGTCTATATGCACGTCTAGGACAGACTAGCATAAGTAATATGACCCAGTACTTGTAAGGATACTTGTACAGGAATGGGTCGCTTCTCCACTTGGTGCTTGCATCAAGAAATGGAGTCGCAAAATCCACATAAAATGTTAACAGAAGAAAGGACCAAAAGTTAACTATTGTGGTCCCCCCATCTAAAGGCAGCTGGAAGGACAGGGTCGCAGCAGCAGCAGAGATTAGCAGTTAAATACAGTGCCAACACGAAGTTCCCATAGGGGGTATAGAGACGTAAATCACTACATGAAATCCAAAGTAATTGCCCTCTGCCTTTTCCGTCGGATTCTACAAGCATTAAGCATGAGTCAGGATAAGGAAAAATATGTATTTTTCTGAATAAAATTGATATTTTATACTTATCCTGACTCATGAGGTAAGCCCACCCAGCCTCCCCGCTAGACACTTTGGATTTCCCTGCAAATTCAAGTGTCGGGCTCATAATCAGGAGAGAGTGAAGCACGTGGGGACGGTGGCGCCACAGTTTCCCGCCTAAACAGCTGGAGAGATAACTCTTGGGAGGAGTGATTTTACGTCTTTTCTTTATTGAAGGGAGCTTCAATAGGAGATACAAGTGTTCCACTAACATTCGCGAGAGGAAGGAGACAAGCATTAAGCATGAGTCAGGATAAGTATAAAATATCAATTTTATTCAGAAAATTACATGTTTGTCTCCCTTTGAGGTTTCCTTGTCTGCATAGGTCTCAGGTACCAAATGTTTGTCTCCCTTTGAGGTTTCCCTGTCTGCATAGGTCTCAGGTACCAAATGTTTGTCTCCTTTTGAGCTTTTCTTGTCTGCATAGGTCTCAGGTACCAAATGTTTGTCTCCCTTTGAGCTTTCCCAGTCTGCATAGGTCTCAGGTACCAAATGTTTGTCTCCCTTTGAGCTTTCCCAGTCTGCATAGGTCTCAGGTACCAAATGTTTGTCTCCCTTTGGGCTTTCCCAGTCTGCATAGGTCTCAGGTACCAAATGTTTGTCTCCCTTTGAGCTTTCCCAGTCTGCATAGGTCTCAGGTACCAAATGTTTGTCTCCCTTTGAGCTTTCTCTGTTTATCTCCCTTTGAGGTTTCCCAGTCTGCATAGGTCACAGGTACCAAAGATTTGTGCCCTGAAGGATTTCTCGGCATGTGTCTCAAGCACCAAACATTTGTCTCCCCTTGGGTATTCCATGATAGCTTAGGATTCAAGTGCCAAATGTTTATCTCTCCGTGAGAATTGTATGTCAGCATGTGTCTCTATGGGGATTCCATGTCAGCATAGGTGTTAAGTACAAAATGTCTGCACGTGAGGATACTAGACAAGGGGTCCACAGTACACAATGCTTGTCTCCCTATAATGATTCCTCTTTATCACAGACTTTACCAAATGTTTGTCTCATGGTAATAATGACAGTACTCATGAGGTCCACAACACCCAAACTTTATGGGCAGGTGCCTGAGGATTGGATGTTTCCAGGTTGATGGTATGGATTATTGCTCATGCTTTTAACCACTTGTTTTATGAGCTCTTAGCTTAAGTAACAATCACTCCCTCCCCCTCTGGTAGGGTGATGTATTGGCAAACAATTTGTATTTCAATGTATTGCGATTCTGGTTCCGTTTATTGTAATATGTTTTGAGCTAAGGACAGGGAGTGACACTGATGTACATGGAGAGCCTATTTTTCCACAGTTAAGTCCAATAAATAAATATAATGGTTCTTATAATAGCAATGTCAAAAATTAGGTTTAAATGCAAGCAGTCTATTATCTTTTCTATTTAATTTATAGCACTGGAATATGAAGTATGCTGTTTTTCAATTAATTATGATGGGAAATGAAATGAAAGTGTGTGCAGATTTTTCATAAAGGTCACATGCAACCAAAAAAACAAACATAATTAAAACACAATTATCACTTATTCATGACATATGATATACATTACTGATTATGAAAAATCAAATAAACAAAATTAAAAGCATACAATCGCAAATCAAAAGTGCAATATTTTGTACTTGGGTTTACTTCCCAGGATACTGAACCCAGTCAGAGCAGGTGGGCATGCACTTAAGTTTAACGAAGCCTTTCATTGGCTGGTTCATTTGCTGATACACTCAGGGCTCTTTGTGTGTATATAGAGATGTTAGGTTTTGTAAATACATGCTCATTTTTTTGTATATAACATTTTGCAATCAACAGACATCATAACATGTCATGTGTACAAGAATCACACTTGCCTGTCTGTGTAATAACATAATGTGACAGACAGAACTTGGGTGCACGTGCCATAAATCATCGCATTAATTTTCAACTTTATAAGTTGAATTTGCATTTTTGATAATTTGTTACTGTAAGTCCATACCCATAGGTATCAGAATCTGCAAAGTTGTGTTTTACGTTGCATGTGACCTTTAAGCCATAGAGATAATCAGAAAACTTCAGGGCACGGTGGGGTAGCCCAATTGTCAAATTGTTTGCTCGTCACGCCATAGTCCCGGGGTTCGATTTCCTGGGAATAATTGTTATCTTTACCTCAGATATTGTCGTTTATACCAGAATTACCAGCAAATTATCAAATAATGATTAATTAATATTGCTTGTTTGATCTTGTAATGGGAACATTATATACATTCATGCTTCTGTTATTGAAAGTAGAACACTCAATAGAAGTGTTGAAGTGTTATGCCATTATGGGGCATTATGGGTGTAAATTTGCTCTTAAACACAATAATGCTGAACTGCTGGTAAGGATCAGAGGATTTTTCAACTGACTTTAGTTGGATATCAGCCTCTGGGAAAAGGCTGGACACATCCCTGAATATTTTGCTGGCTACAATAGTCTTGGTTAGGTCCTCTGTTGAGAACGGGAGAACTCTCCACACTGTTTAGCAGAACTGGCATTTCCAACTTGAACCAGTTTGAAATGATAGGATAACAGCGTCTAGCACAGGTTGTTAGGGACCTGTTCTTGCCCCAGAGGGACCGATTATGTCATAATATGTGACTTACTGTATATTTTTGATAAAAATATATCATCTTCTGCATTGAAGTTGATCATCTGAACTTCTCAAATTATTTTTTTCAATACGTTGTAACATAGATATTAGATGATTCTAAAATTCTGTTTTGTTTGACACTTCCACTTTAGTGCATTGTGAAATCATCTCTACATTTAAGATATTTTTAAAAATATTAACTTTTGAAGATCTCTATTTGAATATCATTTTCTTCATATTTGCTTGCCAGATGCACCTTAATATTACCACCCCATTCCCTCACCATCCATTGTTTATATCCTAGGATGAAGATGATGCCCATGATACCCCCAACCCTCCCCTCTTCATCTCCGTCCTGAACTACCTCAACTCCAACTGCAGCCGTGCAAGGATCAACTACATGCTGCTGTCTTTCCACGAAGTCAAAGACAGTGAAGTTGACCCAACAGACCACTTGTTTCACTTGTGTGAGAAATATTCTCAAGACAGACTGCGGCGCATTGTTCAAGACTTCAAGGAAGGGGAAATATTCTTCCGTTCTGACTCTCTGAACATGGAAGACAAGCGGTAGCGATGTGTGAATGATTTTTTTGTTTTAGCATTCAATGCATCGTGCTCAACAATCGCTCGCAGTAGTATCGGTTTTTGCCTGTGACGTTGGATGTAAATCATGTACAAATTGTTCTTATCCTGACACAACATAGAGCAATTTCTTACTTCACCTTGATAATGGCTCATACAAACCAAGCCCCAAATTTCACTACATTAAATAAACCCTCAAGATATGGCATTCTATTGCTTTTAAGGGGCTGTGGGGTAGCCTAGTGGTTAAGGCATTCGCTCGTCATGCCGAAGACCCAGGTTCAATCCCCCACATGGGCACAATGTTTGAAGCCCATTTCTCTGTGTCCCCGTCATGATATTGCTGGAATATTGCTAAAGGCGGTGTAAAACCTCACTCACTCTACCATTATAGTCATCTTCTTAGAAACAGCAAATTTCCCACAATGATATGTTGTATGTTCCCACAATGATGACACCCTTATTTGTTCAAGAAGTTTGATACCCGTGGAGATCCGGCTTAGAATTGATCTTCAGTAACCCATGCTTGTCTTAAGAGGCAACTAATGGGATCAGGTGGTCAGGCTCGCTCACTTGGTTGATACAAATCATCATATGCCAATTGCATAAATTGATGCTCATGCTGTTGATCACTGGATTGTCTGGTCCAGACTCAATTATTTACAGACCACCGCCATATAGCTGGAATATTGTTGAGTGCAGCATTAAACAGCAACCAACCAATCAAGAAGTTTGAATCTGATTTTTATATGACCACCATGCTGACCGCTTAAACTGCTGATATTTGTAACTATTGACTACATATTCAGGTTAGCTACAGTGTTATGTAACTATTTTTGTGTGTATTTCTTCTGGCAATAATCTTCAGACTTCTATCATGCTCAATTGTCTGGGTACTTTTGTACAGCGATGTTTGTATGCATTGACCAGTCCTCACATGAATTAGGGTTGTATGCACAGCAAAGTATGTCCTGTCATTATCCAAAACAGTTTTGAATAAACAGTCAACGCTGGGTTCATTGAAGGTACTGTATACTTGTCAGAACATTGCATTGTTATTGGGAACTTTGGTTCCTGTGTCATCATACCGACTGAAGAGTAAATTAGTATGAACATTATTATTTGGTTTTCTCGTAACTGGACCCGTGAAGATCTGGGCTAGAATTGGTCTTCAGTAACCCATGCTTGTCGTAAGAGGCGACTATCGGCATTGGGTGGTTAGGCTCGCTGACTTGGTTGACACATGTCATTGTATCCACATTGTGTAGAATCATGATCATGCTCTTAATCACTGGATTGTCTGGTACAGACTCGATTATTTACAAACCGCCACCATATAGCTGGAATATTGCTGAGTGCGACATTAAACAACAATCAATCAATTCTTACAACTGATTTTTTAGTTTGAATGCTGACCTGCGAGAAATATGTTGAGATTTGGACCAAAACAGGGCTGTTTCTTTATTGAAACCACATTCAATACCAAACTAATCAGGGGTTCAAAAACAGGTGATGTCACTTGAGCGCCGCAGAAGTTCATGATTGAGATTTACACTTTCTTAGTAAAGTACCATTTACTACCAATCGGTATTCTAACTACACTTTACTAGCCAACTGTAATCCCAAATATATGTTACAATTGACCACTTTCTAAATGGCATTGTGTATTCATAGCTTTGAACTGTTTGAGCTGTGCCAGTTTACACTTATCAAAGGGGTACACAAAGTCTGTGGTCTAGAGTACCAGTTGTCCGACTTCCATTTTTGTAGAAGCCACAGTGGCTGAGCAGGTTAGGTGCCTGACTTTGAGGATGTGGGTTCGAATCCTGGGTGGTACTAAAATCTGAAGTTGACTAAATGGCATTGTGTATTGAAATTCCTAGAAACTCTGTTGGTTATCACAGACAATCAAAACGATCAGTTGGTACGGTGACCGCATACCCTGATGGTATGGATCATTGCTGGCAATATTGATCTGTGTATTGGCATTCAACAACAAACAAATAAACATGAGTTCAACTGAAGCACATGCTTGTCGTAAGAGGCAACTAACGGGATAAGGTGGTCAGACTCGCTGACTTAGTTGAGACATGTCATCGTATCCCAGTTGTGTAGATTGATGCTCGTGCTGTTGATCACTGGATTGTTTGGTCCAGACTTGATTATTTACAGACCACCGTCATAGAGCTGGAATATTGCTGAGTGTGGTGTTAAACAACAAACCAACCAACCGGTCAACAGAAGCAAGTATTGACAACTGGGTGCATGGAACTTTCAGCACACAAATACCATTACATTTATATTGATTGCTTACCTTATTTTGTCTTAAAAACAAATCTTGCTGATAAGAAAGGAATCATTTTGGGTCTCTACACAATGATTGTGAGTATTTTGTATTTCCCGTGAATGCAAAATTAACCTTTTTCTGTTTGCCAAAACATAGAGTCTAAATAAACAAAATAATAAATGTTCCTTGGTTGATTTGATGTTAATCTCTTTTTGAGAAAATCTTTGTGAAATGGTCAAAACAAAAATATGAAATTTAGGCCAGACCAATTATATTTCTTGTTTTACAGATTTTTGTCCTCAGAAAACCTAAGGGCAGGAGGGGGAAAAAATGAAAATAAAATCACCAGTCAAAGTAATATTCCTTCTAAATATTGAAATCATGTAACTTTTGGCAATTTATGAAATATATAAGGGAGCAAAAAAACGTCATAAAAAATTATTGTAAATTTACATTTTTGGCTGATAAAAACATACGGATTTGATTTTTTGAGCGAGGAAAATAATTTTTATTATTCGTGAAAAAATATGACTGGTGGATCCGTAAAACAAGAAATAAAATTGGTCTGGCCTTAGTAAGGAATATTTACATTCCAACACAACAGTTTTTATGGTTTGTCTGTGAAACAAAGACTTCATAGTTTTCAATCTGTATGGTCCAGAATTGAAATCCTATGAAATATATTTTTTTAAATATCCTGAAATGTATTGTAATAGTTTGATGACAACTTATGATGCATTTACTTAAGAGGAAACCCTTTGTGGTAGTTTTAGAAGTCACAGGCTTTTGTAAATACATATTGTATACTGACAGCTTTACAAACATGTAATCATGTGTTATTAATTTCTGTTTGAAGGATTTTGAACATATTTTCTGTACAAGTCTTTGTATGGAACTTGACAAATAAACATCCACACAATCTGGCTCTTCATAAGTCTTGTTTTCTCTATATATATTGGTAATGTATAACAAACAAACATGTTTGTCAAGCAAGCAATGTACAGCCATGTGGAGAAAGAAGAATATATATATATATATATATTCTTCTTTATATATATATTCTTCTTTCTCCACATGGCTGTACATTGCTTGCTTGACAATGATGTCAGCATAAACACTGCAGTATAGCAGTAATTGTAATAAAGAAGTTGTATATCCAAAGAATTATCTCCCTTGATTATGAAAACATTCTGCAAATCATCTCATGGTTTTTTAGCTGTATGAGAAGGACATTGTTTATATTTTTAATTTCATTTTCAGTGTTTTCATCTTTTACCCCCCAAAAATAATATTTAATTGACATCATGAATCACTAAACATAGAGTTTGAGATGGTTTACAAAGTGCTGTGTGAATAGTGTACATAATACATGCAGAGACTGCCACATTGCCCCAGCCTAATCCTCCTTAATGTATGACTGTTGATTTTAATATTGGTAAAGCTACTCTTTTCTTTCCCTTTTCTTCATGGGCAGTGGAGTAGACTTATTGACTGTTTTTACATTTCCACATGCAGAGGGGAAGCCTAGTGGTTAAGGCATTCACTCGTCACATCAAAGCCCCGGGTTCGATTCCCCACATGGGTACAATGTGTGAAGCCCATTTCTGGTGTCCCCTGCTGTGATATTGCTGGATTATTGCAAAACGTGGCATACAACTAAACTCACTCACTCACTCCACATGCAGACATTGAATAAGGCCCAACATATGGCAGCAATACAATCATATTGATGTGTATAGTAGTTCTGGCACACCCTCACTGCCACATTTCCAAAATCAGAACTTATGATTACGAAAACATTCTGTAAATTGCAATAGAAGAACTAGAGGCAAACCTGCTATAATTTCAATGTAAGCATGTTTGTTCACAAACAAGATTTAAGGAGGATGTTGCGTCTCCATAGAATTATCTCCCTTTGGTAAAAATCTTAAGGAGGATGTTGTGTCTCCATAGAATTATCTCCCTCGTTCATCACATCACCTTCTAAATGCCATTTAAAGACGCAACTCCTATCAAAGGTGTATTGCCAGTCATCACCAGACCAGAGTACGGGATATAGGATCCGCTTGTCAATTAACTATATATTCCATGGCGCAAGAACTTAATATTATAATCCATGAACATTACCTGAATACCAATCATGCATCCTTCTCAAGTTGATTGTAGATATAATAGGAATGCAAGTAGAGTTTTAACAAGTTTATTTGTAAAAATGCTGCTCAATGAGTGCTGAGACATGAGTATTTTATATCTCCCCATGAGGCAGTGCCCTGAGCGCAGCGTCATACCATGTACAAATCAAGAAATAACAAGTTGTCCAACAAATAGTTTTCAGTTAAGCATTAAAGCAGTGCTATATATACTAGCAGCTAAGCAACTAACTAGGTTTACTGGGATTATGGGTGCTCATAGATGCTCATAGATGAGACAGGAGGAGACAGGAACGTGGGAAGTTTGAAATAATACTCACACTTATCAAAATATATATCAAAGCAGTAACGACAGTTATTTAGAAATTCCAAGAAAGAAAGTGAGTATTAGCTAGAGTATTATCTGGTATTAGCTAGAGTATTATCTAGCTGTTTGGAAATTTTTCTCATGCAAGGGTATGAGTAGTGCTGGATATTGGAACAACAACAGCTAAACTAAAACATGAACTGGAGAGATACATAGTGAAAAGAATAAAGACTTGAAAGTATAGACATGAGGCTGTTAAAACATGGCAGGCAGGATCTAGCCGGTCATGGCCAGATGGGTCTGGTTAGATCCAGTGGAGGCGGTTGAAGGTGTTTAGCTATCTAGTGTTGGAGCTTTTACTCCCAGATAAGTGACTTGGAAACCGCCTTCATTAGCCTGAAACATATACAAGTCAGTACTGTTAGCAAATAAGCGCAAGCAAATGGACATGATAAAAAGAAGAAATGAGAAACAAAGACACCAGTTTTCCTTTTCTTTCCATTTTGTGTTTTAATCGTCGCAGAGGTATCGCTCAATTTGTCCACAGTACATCACTTCAAAGCCATTGGCATTTGCCTGTAAATTGAAAAAAGAAAAGGTCACATTAAGTGTTATGATTTGATATTTGTCTAGAAACTACTGGTTGTTTCCTGAGGGTGTGAAGAGGGAGGTTATAACTAAGTGTTCGGATATAGTTTGTTTCCAAGAGGATTCTGGGGTCTGAAAGGATACTGTGAAAGGGACATTTTTCTAGGGGTATTCTACTGGAAATATAGGTGCAAGTTTAACAGGTCTTTATGGGATGGAAAGACTGCTTAAGGTATCTGGGTATAAATCTGAATATAAATATGTGGATGGAAGGACTATTTTAGGGTTACTAGTATTTATGTTACAGTATGTTTTAGGGTTACCACTATATTTGTGAGATAAGTAGTAGGTTTACTATTACCTGTTCTAGAGTAAGTTTTAGGGACATAGCCACGGTGTGCTAAAGTATGTTTTAAGGACAACAGAACAGGAACAGGTCAACCAGCATATTCATAATTACTAGATTATTATTCATTCAGAAGCATTTTCAGGAATGGTAAATATTATAAGGAGTCTTATTTTGGGGTAACTGAAGGAGTGCTGATGACAGTGCAGGTTCCTGGATACAATTTCTGTTACCATGACAACATGGATGGGTGTTAAAAAAATTAATTGTGCTGTGGTCCATTGCAAATGTTACCATCTACACAAGGTTGTTGTCAGTCATTTCATAGTGTAATAGTGGTGCATCAGTTACTACAATATAGGGTATTGTTAGTAGATTTATGTACCGATACAGAAGTTTACAACAGTTCAGATGCAATATACAACTGAGCATTATGGGAATGAATCTCATTAAAATCCGAATAATTTTAATACTATTTTGATGTGGTAAACTAAATATATTTTTTCACTAAAACAATACTCTTCTGTTTTATCTGTATTCTGCAGATGTGATATGTGTTTGTTCAAACTTGCCTCTGTTCACCCAGCAGAAAATGGGTCATGTGACTAATAACCTAGCACCTCACTGGCAGGTTGGTATCCGGGGTAATAATAGTCAGATTGTTAGCGCTATGAGCATCCACCTAGTGAATGGAGTTAATGCATTATAAATACACTTATTATTCATCTTTTATGTACACCTGGGAAAAAGCCAAGAACGATCCCATGTTTTTATCATATTTCTCCAATTAACATCCGCCTTTGGAAATATCAACAAGTGACACTAGTCCAAGAGATTGTCCTAAATGGCTGCTAGGCAACTTGTGGCCATGGAAACATGTCATTAGATAATCAGAATTAGTTTCTGCATGTCAGTGAGTATGTCACTATTTAGACAAAACAAATATTTTCTGTCATGGTGTTAATATAGGATGCATTTTTTAAAAATGGTTCTAAATGGGCATTTTGTTTGAAATATATAGCAAGAATCCTTTTTAGCAGGGTGTCGTGTGGTTACGATCAGCAGACAATGGCTGTAGGACACACTAATGCTATCCTGTATCAATGAGCTTTCAATTATTCCCCTGCAAAAGTCAAACAAGAGAGATGATTCTATACTGCTTGCTGCTAAAGCCAGCTGAAACACTAGAAACTGGTCTTAAAATTCTCTTTATCTTTTCTGCATTTATTCTTTCTTTTTTTTTACTGTTTGAAAATCAATCAATTAAATTAACAATTTAAATTAATTCAAATTGTTTATATATTTTTATGGACTATGTTCCTGGCACAGAAAAAGCTTGAAAATATGATTGAAACTGTTGAAAGAAGAAAAGATTGTTGCAACAAACAATACAGGCGTAGCACTTCATGAACACCGGGTGTCATCACAGATTTTCAGTGATCCACAGCTATTTTACCCTATTCAGCAAAAGGAATCTGTTTCTCAAGCTAATCCAGACTGGGAGATCATTTGCACTGAGGTTCAATAATAAACTGAAGTAGGTCCATGTTTCTGTGGTGGTTGAGGATTCACCATTAGTTCAATAGCTTTCATAAATGTTGCCTCATTTGTAGATAAATAATGGAACTCGGTTTTTATTTTAAATAATTACACTTTCTGATGAAGCTGAAAGAATGTATGTCTCCAAACCAAATCAAGCCTCTGAGAATGTCAAATGGTTGGTTCCTTGTGCAGGTTCATCTACAAAGATTGAATTCTTCTTGTTTGACTGCAACCCTACACTGACTAAAACTGATTTCTATGTTTGAAGTGGTTTGTGGTTGGGGTGTAGTTTAGATCATACTGGAAGTACTTAGATGTTTGAAGTTTAGGATTGTCAGCAAGGGCTGTCAGGAAACAGGTTGTCAGGCTAGGCTGGTTCCCTGAAAACTCGAATGAAACTTATTTTAATATTGTGTCGTTTTAGTTTGGTTTTAGTTTTCAAACATTTGAAGCCACGATACCACAGGTTCACAACTTACTGACAACATCGAGAGGTGGTAAACTGACCATCTAGAATAACAATTATACAGGGTTTGGTTGCGCCCAAATCAAGTCACACAACATCAAAGATGGCTGATTCAAAATGCTCATGGGTTTATCATACATTTATGCAAAGAATACACTAAACTGCAAGGCTTGATGAAAGTGCTAGTTCACCCACACAGTTGGTTGGGTACATATTTTGACTGAATGGATAAGTTGTATGACACTGGAAACAGGTGAGTTGAAATGGGAATTTGGGAATGAAGCCAGAGGAATTAGTGCAAGGGAGGAAGGAATTCACTCATAACAATAACATCGTCAGTTGTAACAATATAACAAATTGCATGAGCATAACTTGAAAAATAGCAGTTTAAACTTAGCATAGCATTCTGGTTATGTAAAATACAACAGAAATGCATTCAGAATCTTTTGAAAAATCGAAAAATATTACTTCATACTGTGTAATGTATGAATAACATTTCATTGCACAACATTCACTGTAATGCACAATAGTGGTTATTTAATCATGTGTATATAGACAGGTCTTATGGAGAAATCAGAATGAACATGTCACTGAAAATAACACTGAGTTATCAAAAGACAAAATATAAATAACAAATCAACTTATTAGATAGAAACCCAAAATAGCGTTTCCAGTCGGGTTAATTAATTATAGCAAACAGAACCAATCACCAAAGGTTACTGTACAGCTAGTCTGTCTCACAGTCACTGAACCACATTATTTTCCCCACTGCCAAGCCCTCTCTGCAATGCTAAAGCCCTAAATGAAGCATGTCTAGATTTCCTCAGGTTCTGAATCTCTCGTCTCCCTGGGGCTTCTTTTCAATTTAAATGGGTTTATTTGTTACAATCAAAATTATATATATTCAGTAGACTCAGCTAAATAGTATATCACTCATGTCAGAGCGTGTCAACTTCATGCATGTGGAAAGCCGGTGACACAGGTCTTAGACGTTTGCAACTTTGGTTGAACCCAAGAGCCTGGCTATGTTGCTGACAAACCATAATCGAGACGAGCCTGGATTCGAACCCAGAATCATTGGTTTCTGGCGGGTGCCTAAGAAGCCTGGGCATGGCAGAAAGGTAATATTGAGGATTAGATATCATACGGGACTGTAGCTGTGGCCTGTGATTGGTTCGTGAATATAACTTAATATCCCAGAAGCGTTCCAAATATTACTTAGTTTTTACTCCGGCTGCCATTGCTTGAAAACATGACAAAGCTGAAAATCTGATGTTGTAGCCTACCTTCATGCCGAGACTGTGGAGGGTGTTGATGACGTTTACAAAGGGGCCCTTCCTGCCCTCCCACAGATCCACCGACTGCACAAGAGACTCCTTCTTCATGCCATAGGCCATGCAGCCATTGTTGAAGTTCTCGATGTTGCCGAAGGCAGCGAATGTGTTAGGTGCCTTCTTCTTGAAGCTAACTGGGGGCTGGCCTATGGAAGCCAGGAGCTTGTTGATGAGTCTGGGATGAATAACGGTTACAAAAAAATTAGATGTGGCTCATTTCCCAGTTTATCTTGAACTGCCTGTTTTGTCTCAACTATGTACAAGGCTATTCGGACAGACAATTTGCGCATACGACATTTGTCTGGTCTGCAAAGACGCAGTCCTAGAAATTTAAATAATAAGAGTCAGAATTTACACGTTAAGACCAAAACATGCACTGAAGTTTATTGAGACGTGTGTCTCAGTAATGAGGGATGCAGTGCACAATCCAAATGTAACTACTTTGTACTCTGTCATAAGTTTTCTTTTCCTCTGTATCAGAGACCATATACCGGTACATGGTCTCTGTTTGTCTAATATAATTTTATGTACCGTATCAACGTATCTCATTGGTTAAAGTAAACTGGATACATTAACTATGACCTTTTTCAACCTAATTCTTCAGTCTGAAAATAAGCGATTACTTTTCACTCGAAATTCTAATTTCCCACAGAACAGCAATAACACACAACACAGGTTCCCATATACATTTAAAATGAAGTCACAGTTGATTGCACAAAACCTGTTTCACAGTTAAATATCGTCCCAGGAACTGTATACTTATACCTGTGTAGATCTCTCAAGGAATCGGACAGATATGTATGGGGCAGGACAAAGGGACAGTTTACAGGAACTGATGACAGCATGGCTGCTATGGAAACACTCACTTGCAGAGAACAGAACCAGATTTGAGCCACTCGTGGAGGTCCCTTTGTTTGTTGCTTTTCTACAAGGAAAGGATGGGAATGGAGGATAGAGCACACACACACACGGTCTCAGACTGGTCACTGGAACTCTTAATAAAAACTACTAAAAACCACAAGGGCACCTGTGCTTGGCATTAGGTGTGGAAACTTGGGTAGAACACAGCCGTTACGACGTCGCAAAGCTGCACGCGTTCCCAAGTGTAGTACTGACGCGTGCGACTACGCGCAATGCGTTCACAAGAAAACTCTGACGGGTCGTAGATCCAAACGACCCGGGGCGGTTTTGGTCACATATAGTCACACAAGCTTCACTTTAAGTCGCTTAAAGTGAAACCCCATTATTCCGAACGCTACGTTCCTTGAGAAATACAATCAGTCCGGATAAATAATAAATACATGTAGTTATTTCCTTTGTTTATACGTGCATACGTTCCTCAAAACGATTTCGGATTATCAACTTGTTAATCCTTGTGATCCTTTTCCGTGCCCGAACTCTACATTTCAATGTGACCTGTATCCCCTTCCGCAAGAACTCAGAACTACCGAACGCAATGCTGTTTCAACACAATGCAGAATACAGATGGACCATACCCACTGCAAACATGGGGAGAATGACTAAAGACAGTGGTTTTGTTTCCCACCACATACTGCGGTGCACCGCTGACTATATTTTCACACGACACAGGCACACGTTGGGTCTGTGGGTTTAACCATAGCTCATGCTCTTCTTATATGAATCAGCCGTCTCACTTGTACAAGAACACAGGTTTAAATAGGCAACCTTACCACTGACGCTCCTTCATCATCTCCAGAAAGAACAGCCTGGATCCACGTTCTGATGGCCTCTGGAGTTCCATCCTGCTCCAGCTGGTCGTAGCTCTGTAACAGAAGATCTGACAATGCAACAAGGGGTGACATCGACGCTCTGTAACAGGGGTGAGATAGTGTAACGAAGGGAAAGCATCGATGGTACCATCCAGCAGATTATAGCTATGTCACGGAGGGTGAGATAGCATCGATGGTACCATCCAGCTGATTATAGCTAAGTAACAGAGGGTAGGATAGCATCGATGGTACCATCCAGCTGATTATAGCTATGTAAAGGAGGGTGAGATAGCATCGATGGTACCATCCAGCTGATTATAGCTTTATAGCGAAGGGTTAGATAGCATCGAAGGTACCATCCAGCTGATTATAGCTAAGTAACGGAGGGAAAGATAGCATCGATGATACCATCCAGCTGATTATAACTAAGTATCGGAGGGTACGATAGCATCAATGGTACCATCCAGCAGATTATAGCTATATAGCAGAGGGTGAGATAGCATCGATGGTACCATCCAGCAGACTATAGCTATGTAACGGAGGGTGAGATAGCATCGATGTACCATCCAGCAGATTATAGCTATGAAACGGAGTGCGGGAAAATGGAAGGAGAATATAGCATCGATGGTACCATCCAGCAGATTATAGCTATATAGCAGAGGGTGAGATAGCATCGATGGTACCATCCAGCAGACTATAGCTATGTAACGGAGGGTGAGATAGCATCGATGTACCATCCAGCAGATTATAGCTATGAAACGGAGTGCGGGAAAATGGAAGGAGAATATAGCATCGATGGTACCACCCAGCAGATTATTGATATGAGACGGAGTGCAGAATAATGGAAGGAGAATATAGCATCGATGGTACCACCCAGCTGATTGTAGCTATGTAACGGAGTGCTGGATAATGGAAGGAGAATATAGTATCGATTGCATCACCCAGCTGATTGTAGCTATGTAACGGAGTGCGGGATAATGGAAGGAGAATATAGCATCGATGGTACCACCCAGCTGATTGTAGCTATGTAACCGAGTGCGGGATAATGGAAGGAGAATATAGCATCGATGGTACCACCAGGCAGATTATTGCTATGAAATGGAGTGCGGGATAATGGAAAGAGGGGATAGCATCGATGGTACCACCCAGCTGAATGTAGCTATGTAACGGAGTGCGGGATAATAGAAGGAGAATATAGCATCGATGGTACCACCCAGCTGATTATAGCTATGTAACGGAGTGCGGGATAATGCAAGGAGAATATAGCATCGATGGTACCACCCAGCAGATTATTGCTATGAAATGGAGTGCGGGATAATGGAAAGAGGGGATAGCATCGATGGTACCACCCAGCTGATTGTAGCTATGTTACGGAGTGCGGGATAATGGAAGGAGAATATAGCATCGATGGTACCACCCAGCTGATTGTAGCTATGTAACCGAGTGCGGAATAATGGAAGGAGAATATAGCTTCAATGGCATCACCCAGCAGATTATTGCTATGTAACAGAGTACGGGATAATGCAAAGAGAATATAGCATCGATGGTACCACCTAGCTGATTGTAGCTGTGTAACGGAGTGCTGGATAATGGAAGGAGAATATAGTATCGATGGTACCACCCAGCTGATTGTAGCTATGTAACGGAGTGCGGGATAATGGAAGGAGAATATAGTATCGATGGTACCACCCAGCTGATTGTAGCTATGTAACCGAGTGCGGGATAATGGAAGGAGAATATAGCATCGATGGCATCACCCAGCAGATTATTGCTATGAGATGGAGTGCGGGATAATGGAAGGAGAATATAGCATCGACGGTACCACCCAGCAGATTATTGCTATGTAACGGAGTGCGGGATAATGGAAGGAGAATATAGCATCGATGGTACCACCCAGCAGTTTATTGCTATGAAACGGAGTGCGGAATAATGGAAGGAGAATATAGCATTGATGGTACCACCCAGCAGATTATTACTATGAAACGGAGTGCGGGATAATGGAAGGAGAATATAGCATCGATGGTACCACCCAGCAGATTGTAGCTATGTAACGGAGTGCAGGATAATGGAAGGAGAATATAGCATCGATGGTACCACCCAGCTGTTTATTGCTATGAAACGGAGTGCAGAATAATGGAAGGAGAATATAGCATCGCTGGTACCACTGGTACCACCGGAGTCAATAATGCAGATCATTAGCATATGTACCACCCAGCAGATCATTGCTATGTTGGGGGATAATGGAAGGAGAATATAGCATCGATGGTACCACCCAGCTGTTTATTGCTATGAAACCCAGCAGAGTGCGGAATAATGGAAGGAGAATATAGCATTGATGGTACCACCCAGCAGATTATTACTATGTAACGGAGTGCGGATAATGGAAGGAGAATATAGCATCGATGGTACCACCCAGCAGATTATTGCTATGAATAATGGAAGGGGGAATAATGGAAGGAGAATATAGCATCGATGGTACCACCCAGCAGTTTATTGCTATGAAACGGAGTGCGGAATAATGGAAGGAGAATATAGCATCGATGGTACCACCCAGCAGATCATTGCTATGTAACGGAGTGCGGGATAATGGAAGGAGAATATAGCATCGATGGTACCACCCAGCTGTTTATTGCTATGAAACGGAGTGCGGAATAATGGAAGGAGAATATAGCATCGATGGTACCACCCAGCAGATTATTACTATGTAACGGAGTGCGGGATAATGGAAGGAGAATATAGCATCGATGGTACCACCCAGCAGATTATTACTATGTAACGGAGTGCGGGATAATGGAAGGAGAATATAGCATCGATGGTACCACCCAGCAGATTATTGCTATGAAACGGAGTGCGGATAATGGAAGGAGAATATAGCATCGATGGTACCACCCAGCAGATTATTGCTATGTAACGGAGTGCGGGATAATGGAAGGAGAATATAGCATCGATGGTAACACCCAGCAGATTATTGATATGAGACGGAGTGCGGGATAATGGAAGAAGAATAAAGCATCGATGGCATCACCCAGCAGTTTATTGATATGAAACAGAGTGCGGGATAATGGAAGGAGAATATAGCATCGATGGTACCACCCAGCAGATTGTAGCTATGTAACGGAGTGCAGGATAATGGAAGGAGAATATAGCATCGATGGTACCACCCAGCTGTTTATTGCTATGAAACGGAGTGCAGAATAATGGAAGGAGAATATAGCATCGCTGGTACCACACAGCAGATCATTGCTATGTAACGGAGTGCGGGATAATGGAAGGAGAATATAGCATAGATGGTACCACCCAGCTGTTTATTGCTATGAAACGGAGTGCGGAATAATGGAAGGAGAATAAAGCATTGATGGTACCACCCAGCAGATTATTACTATGTAACGGAGTGCGGGATAATGGAAGGAGAATATAGCATCAATGGTACCACCCAGCAGATTATTGCTATGAAACGGAGTGGGGAATAATGGAAGGAGAATATAGCATCGCTGGTACCACTCAGCAGTTTATTGCTATGAAACGGAGTGCGGAATAATGGAAGGAGAATATAGCATCGATGGTACCACCCAGCAGATCATTGCTATGTAACGGAGTGCGGGATAATGGAAGGAGAATATAGCATCGATGGTACCACCCAGCTGTTTATTGCTATGAAACGGAGTGCGGAATAATGGAAGGAGAATATAGCATTGATGGTACCACCCAGCAGATTATTACTATGTAACGGAGTGCGGGATAATGGAAGGAGAATATAGCATCGATGGTACCACCCAGCAGATTATTACTATGTAACGGAGTGCGGGATAATGGAAGGAGAATATAGCATCGATGGTACCACCCAGCAGATTATTGCTATGAAACGGAGTGCGGGATAATGGAAGGAGAATATAGCATCGATGGTACCACCCAGCAGATTATTGCTATGTAACGGAGTGCGGGATAATGGAAGGAGAATATAGCATCGATGGTAACACCCAGCAGATTATTGATATGAGACGGAGTGCGGGATAATGGAAGAAGAATAAAGCATCGATGGCATCACCCAGCAGATTATTGATATGAAACAGAGTGCGGGATAATGGAAGGAGAATATAGCATCGATGGTACCACCCAGCAGATTATTGCTATGTAACGGAGTGCGGGATAATGGAAGGAGAATATAGCATCGATGGTACCACCCAGCTGATTATTGCTATGTAACGGAGTGCGGGATAATGGAAGGAGAATATAGCATCGATGGTACCACCCAGCTGATTATTGCTATGTAACGGAGGCGCTATGTAATGGAAGGAGAATATAATGGATGGTACCACCCAGCTGATTATAGATATGTAACCACCCAATAATGGAAGGAAAATATAGCATCAATGGTACCACCCAGCAGATTATTGCTATGTAATGGAAGGAGAATATAGCATCAATGGTACCACCCAGCTCATTGTAGCTATGTAACCGAGTCGCGGGATAATGGAAGGAGAATAGCAGCATCGATGGTACCACCCAGCAGGAAGGAGAATATAGCATCGATGGTACCACCCAGCAGATCATTGCTATGAGTGCTTGGATAATGGAAGGAGAATATAGCATCGATGGTACCACCCAGCAGTTTATTGCTATGAAACGGAGTCTTGGAATAATGGAAGGAGAATATAGCATCGATGGTACCACCCAGCAGATTATTGCTATGTAACCCAGCAGAGCTGCTTGGGATAATGGAAGGAGAATATAGCATCGATGGTACCACCCAGCAGATTATTGCTATGAAACAGAGTGCGGGATAATGGAAGGAGAATATAGCATCGATGGTATCACCCAGCAGATTATTGATATGAAACAGAGTGCGGGATAATGGAAGGAGAATATAGCATCGATGGTACCACTAAGCAGATTATTGCTATGTAACGGAGTGCGGGATAATGGAAGGAGAATATAGCATCGATGGTACCACCCAGCTGATTGTAGCTATGTAACGGAGTGCGGGATAATGGAAGGAGAATATAGCATCGATGGTACCACCCAGCTGATTATTGCTATGTAACGGAGCGGGATAATGGAAGGAGAACATATAGCATCGATGGTACCACCCAGCTGATTATAGCTATGTAACCGAGTGCGGAATAATGGAAGGAAAATATAGCATCAATGGTACCACCCAGCAGATTATTGCTATGTAACGGAGTGCGGGATAATGGAAGGAGAATATAGCATCAATGGCATCACCCAGCTCATTGTAGCTATGTAACCGAGTGCGGGATAATGGAAGGAGGAATAAAGCATCGATGGCACCACCCAGCAGATTATTGCTATGAAACCGGAGTGCTTGGAATAATGGAAGGAGAATATAGCATCGATGGTACCACCCAGCAGATTATTGCTATGAAGCGGAGTGCGGAATAATGGAAGGAGAATATAGCATCGATGGTACCACCCAGCAGTTTATTGCTATGAAACGGAGTGCGGAATAATGGAAGGAGAATATAGCATCGATGGTACCACCAAGCAGATCATTGCTATGTAACGGAGTGCGGGATAATGGAAGGAGAATATAGCATCGATGGTACCACCCAGCTGTTTATTGCTATGAAACGGAGTCTTGGAATAATGGAAGGAGAATATAGCATCGATGGTACCACCCAGCAGATTATTGCTATGTAACAGAGTCCACCCAGCGGGATAATGGAAGGAGAATATAGCATCGATGGTACCACCCAGCAGATTATTGCTATGTAAACGGAGCGCGGATAATGGAAGGAGAATATAGCATCGATGGTACCACCCAGCTGATTGTAGCTATGTAACGGAGTGCGGGATAATGGAAGGAGAATATAGCATCGATGGTACCACCCAGCAGATTATTGCTATGTAACGGAGTGCGGATAATGGAAGGAGAATATAGCATCGATGGTACCACCCAGCAGATTATTGATATGAGGTACACCCAGAGGCAGCTATGAAGCGGTCTTGATAATGGAAGGAGAATATAGCATCGATGGTACCACCCAGCAGATTATTGCTATGTAACAGAGTGCAGGATAATGGAAGGAGAATATAGCATCGATGGTACCACCCAGCAGATTATTGCTATGTAGCGGAGTCGCGGAATAATGGAAGGAGAATATAGCATCGATGGTACCACCCAGCAGATTATTGCTATGTAACGGAGTCTTGGGATAATGGAAGGAGAATATAGCATCGATGGTACCACCCAGCTGATTATTGCTATGAAGACGGAGTGCGGGATAATGGAAGGAGAATATATAGCATCGATGGTACCACCCAGCTGATTATAGCTATGAAACAGAGTCTTGAGGATAATGGAAGGAGAATATAGCATCGATGGTACCACCAAGCAGATATTGCTATGAAGGAAAATAATGGAAGGAGAATATAGCATCGATGGTACCACCCAGCAGATTATTGCTATGTAACGGAGCGGGATAATGGAAGGAGAATATAGCATCGATGGTACCACCCAGCTGATTATTGCTATGTAACGCGGTGCATAATGGAAGGAGAATATAGCATCGATGGTACCACCCAGCTGATTATAGCTATGTAACGAGTGCTGAATAATGGAAGGAGAATATAGCATCGATGGTACCACCCAGCAGATTATTGCTATGTAACGGAGGGATAATGGAAGGAGAATATAGCATCGATGGTACCACCCAGCTGATTATTGCTATGTAACGGAGTGCGGGATAATGGAAGGAGAATATAGCATCGATGGTACCACCCAGCTGATTATTAATGTAACCGAGTGCGGAATAATGGAAGGAGAATATAGCATCGATGGTACCACCCAGCAGATTATTGCTATGTAACGGAGTGGATAATGGATAATGGAAGGAGAATATAGCATGCGGTATATGGAAGGAGAACATATAGCATCGATGGTACCCCAGCTGATTATTGCTATGTAGCGGTCTGCGGAATAATGGAAGGAGAATATAGCATCGATGGTACCACCCAGCTGATTATTGCTATGTAGCGGAGTCGCGGGAATAATGGAAGGAGAATATAGCATCGATGGTACCACCCAGCTGATTGTTGCTATGTAACGGAGTGGGATAATGGAAGGAGAATATAGCATCGATGGTACCACCCAGCTGATTATAGCTATGAAACGGAGTGCGGGATAATGGAAGGAGAATATAGCATCGATGGTACCACCCAGCTGATTATTGCTATGTAACGGAGTGCGGGATAATGGAAGGAGAATATAGCATCGATGGTACCACCCAGCAGATTATTGCTATGTAACGGAGTGCGGGATAATGGAAGGAGAATATAGCATCGATGGTACCACCCAGCTGATTATTGCTATGTAACGGAGTGCGGGATAATGGAAGGAGAATATAGCATCGATGGTACCACCCAGCTGATTATTGCTATGTAACGGAGTGCGGATAATGGAAGGAGAATATAGCATCGATGGTACCACCCAGCTGATTGTAGCTATGTAACGGAGTGCGGGATAATGGAAGGAGAATATAGCATCGATGGTACCACCCAGCTGATTATTGCTATGTAACGGAGTGGCGGATAATGGAAGGAGAATATAGCATCGATGGTACCACCCAGCTGATTATTGCTATGTAACGGAGTGCGGGATAATGGGACGAGAATATAGCATCGATGGTACCACCCAGCTGATTGTTGCTATGTAACGGAGTGCGGAATAATGGAAGGAGAATATAGCATCGATGGTACCACCCAGCAGATTATTGCTATGTAACGGAGTGCGGGGGACGAGAATAATGGAAGGAGACCACCCAGCAGATAGCTATCGATGGTACCACCCAGCTGATAACGGAGTGCGGGATAATGGGACTATAGCATGTAACGGAGTGCGTAACGGATAATGGAAGGAGAATATAGCATCGATGGTACCACCCAGCAGATTATTGCTATGTAACGGAGTGCGGGATAATGGAAGGAGAATATAGCATCGATGGTACCACCCAGCAGATTGTAGCTATGTAACGGAGTGCGGGATAATGGAAGAAGAATATATAGTATCGATGGTACCACCCAGCTGATTGTAGCTATGTAACCGAGTGCGGGATAATGGAAGGAGAATATAGTATCGATGGTACCACCCAGCAGATTATTGCTATGTAACGGAGTGCGGAATAATGGAAGGAGAACATATAGTATCGATGGTACCACCCAGCAGATTATTGCTATGTAACGGAGTGCGGGATAATGGAAGGAGAATATAGCATCGATGGCATCACCCAGCTTATTGTAGCTATGTAACGGAGTGCGGGATAATGGAAGGAGAATATAGCATCGATGGTACCACCCAGCAGATTATTGCTATGGAACGGAAGGTGAGATAGTGTAAAGAAGGGATGGCATCAAGGGTACCATTCAGTTGAATATATCTATGACAAGGAGGGTGAGAAGATGTAAAGAAGGCATATCGTCCACGGTTTACCATTCAGCTGATTATAGCTATGAAACGAGAGTGCGAGAAATTTGCAAGGAAGTAATGCCGCCGATGGTACAATTAAAGTGGTTGTTGATCTGAAATCCTAAAGTGCTATACAATGGATAAGGAACTGAGATGTACTCACGGTTTCCATCTTCTGTTCGATCTGGTATCCAATACCGGACTTCTTGGCTCTGCTAGCGTCAGACATGGTGGCTGGTTAATGGGGAACTTGCTCAACTGCAACATTTCCACAACACTTATATATCAGAACGTGGCTTGGTGAGTAAATCATTATTTGTGTCAATGTGTACACAATGTTTTTGGTTTGGTTTGGTTTACTGTTTTTACGCCGCACTCAGCAATATTCCAGCTATGTGGCGGCGGTCTGTAAATAATCGAATCTAGACTCGACAGTCCAATGATCAGCGGCATGAGCATCGTTCTAAGCAGCTGGGATACAATGACATGTGTCAACCAAGTTAGCGAGCCTGACCACCCGGTCCCGTTAGTCGCCTCTTACGATAAGCAAGGGTTACTGAAGACCAATTCTAACCCGGATCTTCACGGGTCGTACATAATGTATCAATCCTTGACAGTTAAAACGCTTTGTATTTTTTGCATGGAATGAATATGTTACATTGAACAGATCGAGCACGAATGTAATTGCAGAGACAAAAGGAACTTTCACTAACAAATGAGTTTAACGTTCCAATAATGTCACGGCGTATCTTTGAATCGAAGTTAATGAGTACCTAGGCTAACATCTCGTCTCTGAAATTATCATATTGTCTACAAAACACAGTTCCTATATAAGTGGTAATCTAGACTTGCGACAGTCTACTCTTGCTTAGACTGTATTGGGCAAGCTTTTTTCAGGGTCTGCATGACAGACTCTAGTACCAACAGGTCCCGTCGAACGTCGAGCTCAAGGTCAATACTTATTTGGCCCATTTAAAGGTTCAGTAATTAGTGTATAGTGAGCTGGAAGGTGATGCATGACTTCGGTAGAGAATATTGTGACTTGGTAGAACATTTTCGTCAAACTCTTTGTAGGTCTTCATAGGAACGTCACCTTCCCTCGCAGGCTAATCACCACATGACATGTTTATAGTGACAATGCATAGAGAACCTATAACATTAACCTGTGAAATATAAAGGTTTATGTGAAAAGGGGGTCAGTAAGGCCGCTTGGTGATTACATTGCTCGTTGTCTTGTAATGTAGAAACACGGTATCCTAATGGACACTATGTATTTGATAAGACTAGAAGGTACCCCACTGAAATGTTGTTCGTCGCTGACCAATGTTTACCTATCGAATTTACAGTCAAGTTTAAAAAAACACAAATTGAAAAGCTAGAATGTTGTTCAAAGTGGCAAAACTGTAAATTATTCAGTAGTTTCCTAATTTACCTATCATGTTTCACCAAACCTCAAGACACAGTTTAGTCAGACTAAATGTATGTTTGTGTCCAAATCGGTATTCCATCATTTTGATCCCATGGTTATAGAATTTACAATCAACTTAAAAAATTAACAATATTTTGTACAGATGCAAGGAAATTTGCTGAATAACGCTGCTGGCGTCTTTAATCGCCCTCTGTCACTAAAAAACAGTCTACGCAAGCCAACCAACGAGCGAGGGCATGAGCATTACCCTAAACAAGTGTACTAAAAAGGATAACGTACGTGGTATCTATATCAACCTTTGTCAAATGTAACATTTGTTGTAAAATGTCCAATCACTTTGTATAAAAATGTACACCTTTTTCAGGTGTACACTTTAACCGCATAATTGTCATTATTTATGTTACTCATGTGAGCATTTCCCCGTGCCCTTGGTTTGTTTGGTTATTTGTCTGTTATCACTGCAGTCAGCAATTTTCCAGCTAAATGACGGCGGGCTATCACTTAGCATCAATCTAAGCCATTGGGTACTACCCGTGAAGGTCCGGGGTAGAATTGATCTTCAGCAACCCATGCTTGTCGTAAGAGGCGACTAACGGGATCGGGTGGTCAGGCTCGCTGACTTGGTTGACACATGTCATCGGTTCCCAGTTGCGCAGATCGATGCTCATGCTGTTGATCACAGACCGCCGCCATATAGCTGGAATATTGCTGAGCGCGGCGTAAAACTAAACTCACTCACTCATTGGATACGATGACATGCAGCAAACATGTCAGCGAACCTGACCACAAGATCCCGTTAGCTGCCCCATAACAAGCTTTGGTTGCTGAAGATATTTGAATATCAATTAAGATATGTATAAAATATTCATGATAATAATCTCGCATATATAACAACAGGTTTATGCAATCATAAGCTCAGAAGGCAAACTGAAATCAGAAGTAATAAACCACGTAGGCTGAGGCAGGTCATGTTTCCTGAACAGGAAGTGACTAATGAGAAACGGAACTTTCCAAAAGAAAGAAAGTATTTCTATGAAAATCGGAAAAGTACAAAAGTATGTGTATCCCTCTCCGCAGAGCTGCCCTGTTTACAGCCAGTCCCATCTCAGTCTTTTACACAGCAGGTAATTTTTATCATATTGTACATTTTTAAATAAATACAAACTCTTTGTAATTCGACTCGGTTTTTCTTACACCAGATAGACCCAAGATTTGTTTGATTATACATGTACATGTACCCAATGTACCCAATTTTTGTTATGTATACATGTACAGTTACACAACTCTGCGTTTTGTTCATCTCGGTGTTGGATGAGCTCTGGAATGTCTGCGACCATACCTTTTTGACCCTCCGACTGTTTTATAACTAAACACCTTTCCAGAAAGGGACAATTCTTCAGGTTGCTCTTGCCAAGACAAGTTTACGTTCTGCGCGCAAGCAATTGATGCTGGGTGCAGTAACTGAACCACTTGGCCCTACCAGAACCTACGACATCCTGAATAGATCACGTTCGGTCTTGTTTTAACTTAACAATTTTTAGCATTTCCTTATATAAATTAATTTGTAATATCAAAGTTAGATGTAAGTAAATAAACTGTATTTATAACAAACATACATGCAGAGACCATATAATATTTATTATATGGCCTCTGATACATGCGACGAACTCACTGAACTTTCCGACCATTTGGTGTATATTTGGGTTGAAATGCATTTAACGGTTAACTCGAAATAAAATAAAGATTCCTAATAACCGTACACACACGTTCGTAACAACCGTGGGGCGGTGGGGTAGCCTAATGGTTAAAGCGTTGGCTCGTCACGCCGAAGACCCGGGTTCGAATCCCCACATGGGTACAATGTGTGAAGCCCATTTCTGGTGTCCCCTGCCGTGATGTTGCTGGAATATTCCTAACAGCTGCGTAAAACCAAACTCAGTCAGTCAGTCGTAACAACCTTACACGCGCGCGGAAGAGGGAATTGTATGGATGTCCGCCTCTGTAATTTGAAGGACCAGTAAAATGAGGAACATGACGTTTCGAAGGATATTTCGAAGGAAGCATATGTAAAACAACAGAAAGGATAAGAAAACAAAGGTGGACACATAACAGTGGAATTCGGTAGTTAATGACAATGGACCAATAGATGCCAAGCGGGAGTCAAGGCGCAAATGGTACTGATAGGTAATTATAGGTCTTTGGTCTTCTCACAATTCTGATGTGACCCGGCAGTGATGGCAAAATTAACATGTGAAAATGTACGATTGATGGAAGAAAAGATTGCACACTGGAATAGCTAGTCAATGTAAACAATCTGTGCGTGTCTACTAGCACTGTGGGTCTTAGCTTGAGGAATGTCTGGTAGATAACGCCGCGCAGAGAATGCGCTTGGAAGTGGGAAGGTGTAAATTTAGACCTTCGTGGGGGCGATATACTCGCATGGTTCTTCCTGGTCACGTGGCATATTACTTCCCTCTCCCTCGTGCCTGTTTGCTGTTGATGCCGTCTGAATGTGAACATGTGTGCCCAAATTGAGGAACTAAATTTGGAGTCATGACCCCTTGTACCTTTGACCTCTTAATGAGAATGCACGTGCGGTATCACCTCACGGATGTACCTCATGCGTTGGCAAAAGTCAGCATGACATGTCGGTGAGTGACGAGTTTTTACTGCACTAGTTTTTTCGCATTTGCACTCGCTGCATCCGACATATAATGATGGGCGAGAGAGTGATTCGGGTTTTACACCGCATTTAGCAATGTTCTAGCAATATCACGGCGGGGGACACCAGAAATGGGCTTCACTCTTTGTACCAAAATTGAGATACGAACCCGAACCTTCAGCGTGGCGAGCGAACGCTTTAACCAATGGGTTACCCTACCACCCAGATTATAACAATGAAAATCCTCATCTGAACGAACTTCGTAGTCAGTGGTGCCACGCTGGAAGATATTTGTTTCAAAATGTCGTTACTTTCCTTCTAATAATTAAAGTTTTAAACTATGCATATAATTGCTTTTAAATGGTGTTTCATTAGCAGCAATCAACGCATCACATCCCGATCCCGATGCTCATGATGTCAATCACTGGATAGTCTGGTCTGATAATAACCCTTCGATAAAATGTGTACAATACATTGTGCGCAGATGAAGTAATACGCCTGGATTGGATTTCATTAATAACATGTACCTCTGCTGGAATCGTCACCCACCATGATAACCCGACACAAGTGAACTGGGCCGCCGCCGTGGTCAAGTGGGTGGAGCCGATGGTCGGTGATGCGATCCATGGTTGAGTTATACCAAAGGACTGTGTTACGTTTTACGCCGCTTTTAGCAATATTCCAGCAATATCATGGCGGGGGACACCGGAAATGGGCTTCACACATTGTACCCAGTTGGCGAATCGAACCCGGGTCCTCGGCGTGACGATCGAACGCTTTAACCACTAGGTTACTCCCCCTCCCTCATACCAAAGGAACAACAAGTATGTTTCTTGTTACACAGCCTGCGCTCGCAATCACGAGGATAAAACAAGGAGCGGTCGGCAAGGAGTCAGTAAACTGTGTCTGAGCAGGATTAGACGAACGCTTGGTCCCTGGATACATACAATTTTGATTGAAACAAATAATTCCATTTAAACTGAAAAGGAGCCAAAGTGAGATGGGAGCTTCAGAACGTGAAAATTATGAAACCTGGACTCGCTTCATTTAGGGCTTTTCCATTGCAATAAGGGCTAGGTGGATGGCAAAATAATGCGGTTCAGTGACTATGAGACAGAGTAGAGTGGGTGTCCATGTTAAACTGCAGCGTGGTATCCCAGTGGCGTTAGCCCCCACTAGTACAAGCAGTCACGTGTAAATGCATGTCAGCATGAACGTGTAATCATATTGAACACGACGTTAAAACCAGTCATTCCACCTCACCAATCATAGTCTGTCTCACAGTCACTGAACCACATTTCTGTATTTCTGCTCTTGGTTTTATTATTCCAGTAACAATCCATGCCAACGGTTTTCATGGAAACTCAACAAGGTTTAAGTCTTCTAAGCTTACATCCGCACGAACCCGTCAAAAACAGGGTTAGAATTGGTCTTCAACAACCCATGCTTGTAGAGGCGACTAAGAGGATCGGGTGGCCCGGCTCGCTGACTTGGTTGACACATGTCATCGTATCCCCATCATAGATCGATGCTCATGATGTCAATCATTGGTTTGTCTGGTCCAGACTCGATTATTTACAGACCGCCTCCATATAGCTGGAATATTGCTGAGAGTAGCGTTACACAACAAACAAATACACAAACAAAAGATCTGAACATATGGTCTATGTGATATATAATGGCATTAAATTTGTGCCGTACTGTATTACAAATATACAAGGTAGAGTACAATAGAAACATGATAATTATATCTGCTTATGGACGTAAACCACAAACTATGTCCAACATACGGCATTTACGATTTAACAATTTGCGATTTATTACTTAGGGTTTGGAATTTGCATTCTTGAGTTTTCTAAAATAATATCCCTCCCAAACATATTACTGGCGCCCTGCCTTGAATGATTTTACCGAAATATCAAATATTTTAACAGTAGATAAACATTCCATTTTTTCATGAACATTCCTTAAAGTTCCTTCCTTTCTTTCCCAACCCTCCAGATACGCTTTCCATGTTATGTCCCTCCATCATTCTCCGCAATATCCACCATTCCATCAAACAGAAACAGACACTTCATTTCAGTGCATCACATTTCTGTTCTAACATCCTGAGTGCTTGTCAAGAAGATAGGACTGGAGGTTATTTAATTACCCAAGCCTAATCACTGTGACGTCATAGACATAGAATTAAAGAAGGACCAGAGACAAGATGTTTCAAGCGTTCTCCTGTTATTTTGAGATACCACAACCCTGTTTTTTATGTTCTCCATGGCAACCAGTGTAAGCATAACCCGACAGTTTATGTTTCTTCAGATGCATCTAAATTTGGAAGCACTTAACAGATGTGTTAGTTCACATGTCAGCTTGTACACAGACAAGTGGCAATGCTGTTGGAAAGTTGCAGATTTGGTATTTGGTTTACAAATTTCTTTTCTTAATTAATTCTCCCTTCAGGTGAAGAAGCCATCGCTGTGTCATTGTCAAGACTGTCGTTGGCATCAGATCAAAAACTTTACCATCGACGTCTTTCAGACGTGGAATGTTTTTGTTCGTCTTTGAAAATTTACGAGTGAGAATGACGTTGATGCTGTTGTGGTTACCGGCGTAAGCGAATGTTGTTTTACACCGCAGTAAGCCATATTCCGGCAGTATCACGAGTCTTGAAATATATCCGTCAAACGAACCAGTAACAGAGAGAGAACCAGAGAGTGTTCCGGGCCCAGTGTATACAACTGATCCTCATTTTAGTGTCTTTCGGACAAGCACTTTGTACTGGGTACCTGTTCTGACCCGAACGTCCAGGGGATTCTTACATTGGAACTTCTTCGTCGAATAGTATTATTCTTTATTTTACCACATCCATAATCTGATTATAGTTATTGTACTGAAGTGGTCATATTCAATATGTTACAATGATCATCTAAATATACCCATGGTAGAGTGTCGATTTTACATTATGCTATGATACAAGAATATATATGAAATATACTAAATGAATCTCATTCAATGGGATCATTGTAGATACCTTTAATAAAAGACTGTATGTACTGTGCTTGCTGGGTAAGTTTAATTTTACGCCGCTTTTCATCCAGCAGTATCACGGCGGCAGATACCAGAAATGGGCTTCACACATTATTCCGATGTTGGGAATCAAACCCGTGTCTTCAGCGTGACGAGCGAACGCCTGAACCACATATCTTCCCCATCACCCCTGTGCTTGCTGAACTTCAGAACGTCTTAAAACGCGTTAATCAAAGTCATTTGAAATATCGTATTTGTCGCTTGCAAAACAAATATTGTGGAGGTGTGGGGAATTTAGAACGATGATGTAATTACTTTCGGGAAAGTTTCTGTAAGTCAAGGAGTCCGAATTAAAAAGGTTCCTTGTACGCAAGCTAAAGGACATGCCGTCCTCTGACCTTGGTACTAGCAACGACATCTCCAAGGTCACACGGCTGTCAACGGAACTGATAATAAAACCATCCTACAAACCCAAACCATCAAAGACGCACCTTTCATACCAGACAATGTTAGTTTTTATCACACGTCGAGGCGGCCTTAAACATCAGTAAGTCCAAAATAGCAAATTCATCGCAGCAAATATCACCATGGAAATATGTTACTGCAAGTATACAACTGTCATAAGTTTCGGAGGCATAATTATAGCAACAGGCGCTGTATGGTGCGAGGTTTTCCTAATACATCGGGAATGCCGGAGACATTGTTGTCGAATCAGCAAGCGTCAATTGATGCTCTGCCAGACGCCATCTTGGGGACTGTTTCAAACGTATATCAGTCGCTGTGCGATCACTTCTCAATGTTCAGACATCATGTCAAATGAGGAAATGTCACATTTTCAAACAAGATTGCCTGGTATGGTGTCAACATGTAAAGATGTTTCTCAGTTTTCATTCAGACCTTCTAATCGAAATAAAACTGATTAAATTGTAATGAGACGGACCCCAGCAGTTGGTGCATTGACTTCCGTCAACAATACGTCTACAATTCGCAATTCTCTTTATTTGGTCCGACTGTTTATCTTGTCTGAAAGCTCAATACGTGGTTATTATGATTCTGAAGAAATAAATATGAAATAGCAAAATAAAATATTTTAAATTATCCAACGCTTTTTGATTTGTTGTTTCCAGGAGAAAAAATATTGTTTTGATTGATGAACAATAACAATGGCGAGAAGATGCACGGCGAACAATTTTGATGAAACAAGTAAAAATTGCAGTAACTTAGGTGGTCTCATTAGTGAGTACTAAATAAAACCCCAAACACTAAGTAGATTCCGAAATACCGCATGTGAGATATTCTATATCAATTTGGGAGGTGTATTTTCCAACTTATTTACCCCGCTCACAAAAAACGTCCTAATTAATAGCCCGTCTTATTCAATAGTTGAACGGCATTGGATGGAGCACACGCGCCTGATAACACAACAGCAGGTTTTTCAAGTAATGCAAATATGTCAAACAGCAGAATCCTGTAAACAAAATGGCCTTGAAACCATCTTCTGCTAAATCTGCTGATCAAATACAGTTTGGGTATTCTTCAAAAGGCATCTTCAGTGAGAATCTACAGTAGACCTTTCCAGTCCCATCATAATACAATAAAAACGAGCTATGACGCGGGTATATGATACAGCAATACATTATTATAGGACGAGGAATGTGACCAATTTATATTTCTATGCCATAAGTAGATTATTCAATAGCAGACGTTTCTTCTTATCAGATATTATAACATAAGTACTTACAGTTGTTGATCTGGTCTTGGTAAGTGTACACCACACAGGGCAGTGAAGGGAGCGATAGTCTCGTTTTCTCTCGGAGTTGCAGAATTAATTGTAGAAGCGAGAGTTTGGGGGGCTTCTCCTTTTATAGATATGGCCTGGAAACGCGAGACAGACGCGCGTGTTTGGTTGAAGCAGCGGAACTTGCTACACAGCACACCCCTCCCAGACACGAGTGATTCAGGGAATCGTTATCTATTTTATCTTGTCTTGGACTGTGGTGATTGCTATAGATTAATGGTGATTTTTACTAATTTCGGATAATTTCAACATTCTTGCATCAGAGGTAACCTGCTTGAAATTTGGACAAGATTATGTATCAACTGTACTACAGCTAAACAGAAGTACTATGAGACTACTACAATACGCGTCTTGTGTAATACGATGCTTACTTATGGTCTCTATTCAGGTCTCTATTCATTAGATATAACGTGTGTAGTAAGTAGAAACTTGTAGCAAGACACTTCCTTTCACAACTGTAATGTAAGTACAGGGAGTTACAGGAGCGGTGTATGATGTAAGATGCACTAGTTCGAGGTCTGTTTACGTATAGTCAGGTGAAATAAAGGATAACATCTAACTACAAATGTTCCTTTAAGGATGGTAACATTGCATATATTGATCGATGATGAAATAACAAACGTTAATTTATAGTGAGTGAGTAAGTTGGGTTTTACAACGCTTTTAGCAATATTCCAGCAAATGGGCTTCACAAATTGTACCCATGTTGTTATAGTTAACAGTGAAAAGACTGTGTAACCTCGTTATTCCGGAAACCCTGTTTAAACGACCATTCGAACGTCTTAGATACAAACAAAACATTAATCTGTCGGGCATCTTTCGTTTCGTTTCTTTCATATTGGACAATTTCCCTAAGAACGACTTCGTCCGGGTCAACGAGGAAACTTTATCAAAAACCTTTGGCTACCCGTATAATTTCAACTTGAATAAAGTTTTGAAGTTTCTATAAGCCATCATACATGCACGACGTCACCTGTACCTGTGTTTGGAAATGTTAATAACACTAAAGCTCGTGATAGGTTTGCAATTCGAAAAATGCAGTTTGTTTTTACATGTGCTCTTAGCAATAAATATATTGTTTGGAAAAATACCTCCAAGTTAGGAACAGCTTTAACGTTGTACTGCTATGTTAAAAGACAACCAGCCTGTTGGAGGTCGTCAGAGAAATCGGTGTAGGCGAAAACAGGATTCAGCGTAGAAGCCTTAGTCTAGATTCAGCGTATCTTTCCTGCTTGTCAGCTCAAATAGACACAGCTCTGCACGCCAGCATGAGAGACAATCCTAAAAATAGAGGAGTCTGTATATGTTGTTATAATCTTCCCTCAGCAATATGTCAGCTGCATCGCAGATGATGAATGTGAATCGCTTGTAGACCCTTGTAAGCAGTGGTTGACAGCACGAGCATCGGTATTTACCGTTGGGGCACGATAAGTGAGTGAGTCAGTTTAGGTTTACACCGCACTCAGCAATATTCCAGCTATATGGCGACGGTTTTGTAAATAATCGAGTCTGGGCCAGGCAATCCAGTGATCAACAGCATAAGCATCGATCTACGCAACTGGGATACGATGACATGTGTCAACCAAGTCAGCGAGCCTGACCACCCGATCCCGTTAGTCGCCTCTTACGACAAGCATGGGTTACTGAAGGGGGGCACGATGTTTTGGGTTGGGTTGGGTTGGGTTGGGTTTCTGGATATTGAACAAGGGAGGATGGAAAACATAAACACCAGGGGAAATGAAAGTTAACTGTTGAAAATTGGATTTGACCAAATAATTCCAATCATTCTCAGAACGGCTGTGTTGCTGTGCAAGTGTGTGTCCATGCAATATCGCCAATGATACCCGTATCAAATGCAACCATCGAATTATGGTTTTAATTCTAGCCACCACACACCAACAAAACATTTATTACAGAAGTAACACCCCGTCAATCCAGAAAACCCATTTCCCGGACGCTTATACATGCATACAAAGAAAATTACTTACTCTATAACGATTCCTTTATCCGGACAGGGTGCAATTTAATATGCATGCAGTTTCTTTCGTGATCATCTAGACGAACATCTGGTCTCTGAAGTGAACATATTTTACAGAAAAAATGGTTAATTATGTTAATAAAATATAATAAAAAGGAGCCCTGAAACTGTTGTAATCTAGACTCGCCTGCCATTCTAGACTTGCATGGGCTGCATTGGGCATATTTGTTTCAGGGTCTGTATGACAGACTAGTAGTCACTTGGAAATATTGGATTTCTGATGTGATGAAAACACATAAAGATGTCTATATTCATTGAAAAAAGGTCAGTTTTCCAACTATATGGAAATAAGTCACCTCCCATGGGCCTGTCAGAAGGGTTATCCTTGTGTAGCGTTTCCCGACGTCGAGATCATACACAATGTTTAGCTGCACTGGACCAAAAAAATTATTTAAAATACAATCTGGTAGTTTTCCCCAACGACGGGACATTGTCAATCACGTAATATGACGCATAGGCAGCTGAAAATTGATTCATTAGTTGTGGGCAATATAACCTGACATCGCTGTATACACGTTTAAAATAAGAGACAGATATTTAGACGCATATACATATGTGCATTTACACGTGTAACAGAACACAGTTTAAATAGATATGTACCGACACATCGAACTGAAGCTATGTGCTCTCCACATCTCACATCGCCTTGACGCTGTTGGCTACATCTGCTGACACTGAAGAATGTGGACTAACGCTTATAGTCCCTGAATGTATATAATTTTTTTATATACTACTCACACTTTGCTAAGGATCATAAAAATTCAAAACTTTACTTAAACGTAGATTTATAATTTGAAATTGTATCCATTTAAAACTGGATAATAATAGGGTGACCCGCTCATTAGGCAAATAATCACTTTAAAGAACAAATAAACCGTTGTTTTTTGTATTCTTTTAACCATGGTTAGTCTTAAGCGGAACACCAAATTCGTTCTTAAACTTGTGGTTAATTAATACCGAGCGATTAAAAGATGCCAAAACGTCGCCTGCTTCACTCTCGCCCGCCAACGAAACCACGGTTAGGTCCCATATTGCCTACAGTTCCAAATAACATATACAGAAGAATACTATACCACCAAAACAAAAATAATCAAATACATTTTATCTGGGTCCCGTCACATATCGGAGTCCATGGCAACGAAATGGACATCCTTGTCAGCTGTGTGTAATTGTGAAACCAGTAAAAGACTGTAAAACGTATCAATTTTTCATGATATATCCATGTCTCCATGTAAAGGCTGAGAATTCTCAGAATGAATAAAGATGTCTTACCAACCAACACTTGTCATTTTTTTAAAACGTCTGTAAGCAGAGTGGGAAGACACCATAGAACAGGTCAGTTCATTAACCAACTAACTGGTCAAGTTCATTTTAGCAGGGTTAAAACAGGTCGGATCGGTGTATTCCCATTAACTTCACTTCCTGGTCACTGGACCGTATCATGTTTTTTTAACCTGTAGGCAGTATGGTGATACACCGAAACCACAGAGGTAACGTAACTCTGTCGCCAGAGCACTGCAAAGAACCGGAAGTGACGTCATGTGAGGAAGGATTTTCAGATAGTTATCCCCCGCCGCGCGTTTAGCGCGAAGCGGGGAATATAGTATTAGGCTCCGTCCGTCCGTACGTACGAATTTGAATATCTTAAGATCCGTTGACGAAATTCCTTTCATATTTGGTACCTAGGTTCATCACAGTATAAGAAAGGTCCCAGTCAGGTTGGTGTACTTGACCTCCATCTCAAGGTCACAAGGGGACTTTAACGTTTAACTCTGGTCAGCGAGATATCTCAAGAACCGTTCACTAGGTTTTCTTCATATTTGACACCAAGCTTCATCCAGGAAAGGCGCAGGGTCCAGTCGCTTTGGTGACCTTCACTTAATTTCAAGGTCACAAAGACACTTTGAAGATTTCAGCATGTTAAATTGCATGTTAAGATAGTCAGCAAGATATCGCAAAAAACATTCTCTGGACTTTCTTCATATTTGACACCAAGCTTCATCTAATGAAGGCGCAGGCGCTAGGACCAGTCAATTTTGGTGACCTTCACATAATTTTCAAGGTCTCTGCGACACTTTGACGATTTCAGCATGTTAACCTGAATTGACTGGATTTTCTTCATAGACTTTCAAGACTTCCCTTGAATGTATTTCAATAAGCAATTTCTTTAGTACCACTTTTGCATATTTCATACACTATGACATTCATGTCAAGGTCAAAGTCAGTCTTGAAAATATTTGTGTGTTTGAACAACTAAAGAGCAAGATATCAAGAGAGGTTGACTGGTCATGTTTTTGTTGACATTTAACTTCATCTTAACCTTTCATTACTTTTTAAGTTTGATATTATTATTTGCGGCGGGGGATTATGTCACCTTAGTGACAATGCTTGTTGTATATAAAGTGTGTAACAAGCTCGTCATTTTGCTGATTTCTTGACGTCAACGACGACATACGGAATCGTTTACGTTGCCGTCAAGGTGATCGGAAAAAAAGTAACAGGAAAAAAAGAAAAGGAAAAAAGTAACAGCTCATCCTAATCCTAATTAAGTGTTTATATGAAAACTGTTACTTTTTTTCCTGTTACTTTTTTCCGTTACATTTTTTCCTGTTTCGTTTTTTCCTGTTACTTTTTTTTCCTACATTCGCCGTCAATTGCTCCTAGGGGTTGGGTGATTGTGTCACCATGCATTGATTTCCACCGGACCCAGCAGTTCGTGCTAAATGGGTTATGTTTGTGAGTGCGAAGCGAGCGTTGTGGAAGACTGGAACGATATCTTACTTGTGTTCAGATCGCTTCACGGAAGTTAAAGAATCAAAACTACTTACAAGTTGTAGTAAAATATGTATATGATTGATGACCAAAAAGATTTTCCATGACACAACTTGTAACATAACGATTCCTTCCTCGGAAGAGGGGCTGTGGTCGAAGTGACAATAATATTGTAAGTAGTTTTATGTTGACACCCACCTCGCTTCCACGTGAGAAATTGTTGTGTTATAAGCTATGTCATGCAAAATCCCATTGGCCATCAGTCAAATACATGTTTTTCTACCAGTAGAAAGTAGTTTTGATTTTGTAACTCGGTGAAAACAAACCTAAATAGCATTTATTCTCATACTGGCGGATGTTCGCGACAGGGCGACGCCATTTTTAAAAATCGTGACGTCACGGGCTAAAGTCTGTCAAAGAATTAATGAGATTAAGGTTTGTTTTCATCGAGTTAGAAAATCAAAACTACTTTCTACTCGTAGTTAAATATGTATTTGAATCATGAGCAAAAGGATTTTGCATGACACAACTTGTAACATAACGATTTCTTCCACGGAAGCGAGCTTGGGGTCGAAGTGACAATACTGCGCCATAAATTTCTTGCTACATTCACGTGGTTAACGTCCACTCACCAGTATGTAGATACTAGTCAATGTACATCTTTATATTTGGTCTTATAATCCTAATTAGTTTATTTTCATACTTGTATGCATTTTGAAACTTAATAAAAACTTATAGTGAATTTATAACATGACTGTAATATCTAGACATTTTATAGACTGCCAGCTGAATCATAATTCGCTCACACGCCCGAGTGTATGTTGTCTGTCTCATTACACTTCACGGCGAAAACAATGATTCTGTTGAATGCTACGACAAATGAATAAAAACAAAATGCAAATATTTAAATTAAAACAGATTAAAGTTACACCAACAATGTCAGGCTATTACCTTGGTCTAGGAATGTATCCATCAATATCCACATAAACGAGTGATATGCCATTCATCTGCAGCTGTTCCAAGTGATGTGTCTTTTAACAGTCTAATATGAGAAAAACTGATGTATCGTTTCAGGTTTTTCACATTGGTGTATTGTGCCATTGGTCGCCCAAGATATCAAACCTGGCAACTAATTGCCTAATGTCCGCCATTCTTTAAAAAAAAGTAATTTAGTTCGCCAATAATAGGCAACCAATCAATGTATTGGCGGTTAATCCTTTGAAAGAAGGACGTTGTTTTTACACAGACACTACATGTAATCATAATCATGATAATGTGGTTCAGGCACTGCGAGACAGACCATGGGGAATGGGGCCGAGTGCGTTGTGGAAATACAGTTCTCTATACGTCCATGCACCCAGATCCAGGCCTACGCGTGTTCATGTTTTACCTGCAGTCTTAGGGGTTAGATTAGCGATTGAATAACCAAATTTAGTTTGCAGCAGTGTCATCATTGTGGTAGCATTGCATTCGATAGAGTAGGTCGATGCTCATACTGTACGCATGGTCAGTCCACTTCTGTTCGTATCGTAATGTGGAACTGCAAGTAAACGGGTCAGTCTCTCTGTGTGTCTGTGTGTGTGTGTGTGCGTGCGTGCGTGCGTGTGTGCGCGCGCCTTCGGCGTGAAGAGCGAACGCTGTAAGCTATGCCAGCTACCCTGTTGCTATCACGGAGAAACCAAAGACGTACACAGAAAACAAAACCACGAAAACATCCTCATGGATGTGTTAAATAACATACATCTGTCAAAATACTCGCATACATATATAGTTATCACTCTGAAAAATCTTGTGTATCGAGAATGTTTGTATCTTGTTTACACAGCATAAAATAACTCATATATATCACAGTGACTTGCAGTAATCATGTCTGATCCAGGCACTGGCTGTGTGAGGGTGCCAAAACCATTTTCATTGGTTCGATTGCCAAAACAGGATGACATGCTAACAAGTCACACAGCGATCAAATTTAGTTTCCCTATGGAGATTCGGGTTAAAATAGTGCCCATTGATATTTGTTTGTCGAAAGAGGCCACATAGTGGGTCGAATGTTCAGGGTCTATCAATGCAAGTAGGCGACTGAATATTTTTTTACAGACTTATCAGCACAGATAACTATTTGTGGGTTGAATCTTTGCAGTTGTACTTCTTACCTCCCTTTGTTTAATATGGGAGATAATTCGTGATTGCGGAAATCGCCCTACGCCTCTTCCAGAAGAAGTAGATGGTTCGAAAATCAAATTCACACCCAATGTTTCTTACCAGACAGTGAACATTCGAAATATATACAGGTAACCTTGTCCTAATGCAAACAACAACTACCTAACCTTCTTAATCGGGTGTCTTGAGGAGAGGTTGACGGACAGACCTTCGGTTTTCGTGCATGAAAATTCGTCTGCACGGAGTCACCCTAAACACTTTGTCTTAAGTTTTGTTGAGGCTGGAAACATAGTATTTTTAGAATTTGTTTCTGTATATATAGCGGATACTCTTTCTTGTTGGTTGGAACCAAACATTTTTTAAAAAGATTGTCGTTACTTGTCACTGTCAAACCATGTTATATCAGAACACTGAATCGGACTATGTACAGCTGTTGACACTGGTGTTCGGAAAAAATGTCCTCGGCAAAAAAGTACCGGTAAAAAGTCCTAAATTTGCCTAAGCAAAAAAGTCCTCCGGAAAAAAGTCCTACTTTTAATTTTTATAACAAATGTTAAGAAAAAAATATGCGGTTTTTTTTCCTATAATCTTAACACTTACTATCACGGATCGTATTCATTTAGAATGGTGCTCAAGCATTTAACAGTTTTTATGACAGAGTGCCTATCATTTAACTTGAAAGACTGGCAGAGGTGTGCATGTTCTGTTTCAGGTAGTCTTTAGCAGGTAATATGGCATCTATATTGGACCAGTACGAGGAAGAGTCAGCTCGACAAGCTTCAGGAATCAGACAGTCACCTGCACAAAGTCTACAAGAACCGGTCTGTTGAATAAAGTGACATTAATATTCTATGTTTTATTATTTCTCTTGTGCAATAAATCAACATGACTTAAATAAATCAAACATACAAACAATATTTGTATTAGCATAAGAACTTTCAATACAATATGTAGCTTTCCTCTGCTGATTCTTTTAGTATGTTGCAGCCCATGATATCTTCCATTTTTCAGGCATTTGAATTTTATGAGGAAAACAAAGAAGAGATCATTTCTAGCCAAATTGAAACACATGCATATTTGAAAACTGACAGAAAACAATGTGAAAGAAAATATAGATAAATGATTTGTTATAAGGATATGCCTATGGTAAACATTGTGTAGCTGAAATGATTGTGGTTTGTAATTTGCTTGTCATTTTATAATGTCAGATTGGTGTTGGCTTCATTGATGCCCGTCTGGAAACTGAATCACCTATTTTCAACAAGAAAAAGGTCAACTTTAAGTAAGTCTTTAATGTTTATAGTGGTCATGATATTGAATGTTTTTTCAAGAGACATTCATAATACTTCACACAGGATATATTTCAGCCATTCCATAATGAATTCATAAAAAATATAAATTGACTGTTCTGTAAACATAGTAAACCCCACTTCAAAATGTTATATTTTGAGTCTCTTATCACAGCCCACATGTAAGACGTAAAATCAACTGAAAAAGATGTTTTCAGCTGATCATGATGATAGACCCTAGTCCCGATGACACTGTGTTTCTGTGCAGGCCGCCAGACACCATCACCCATCTGGATGTGTGCAATAACTTCCTGGTGATGGTGATGAGCTCCAACATCATGCTGCGTCTGGACCTGGAACACCCTGACAACCCTGACGGTAGGGACACTTGTTGGACACTTGTGCTCCAAGGCTGTCCTGAATGAATGTCCTGAATTTATACTAAATTATAGTCATTCTAGTCTTACAATGCTCAAGTCTAGATTTGGGAATAGGACAACAGTCTTTTAAAGCGATAAGTTGTCCTTATGATTGAAACACAAATATACTGAGAGAAACAAATAAAGGATCACAGGAAACTTCAAGTGTTCCTTTAATATTTTCCGGTTTTCATCACCACAGCGCTATTCAGAGCTTGATTGTTCTTGTGATCCTTCATTTGTTCTCTCAGTATATTTATTGCCTTAGAGTTTTAGACCTGTCTGTTACAGGGTAAAGTGTAAGGGTTAATACTTAGATACACTTTAAGAGTGTTTGAAATCAAATTAAACATGGCATTCAAGGAGTTCGTATTTGACCCAAACCTTGTCCATAATAAAAGATTCATTGCTCTCAGCATTGGTAAGGGAACCTAAAAATCCAAATCCTTTTTTAAAAAGCAAGAAAAGGGATAACTCTAACAATGTGGATGGAGCCATGCACATTTTGTCTCAAATAGGACTAATATGATGCAATGAGGACAAGAATTCCACAGGAAACTGCAAAATAACTGAGTTTTGAGTCAGGTAACCCCAGTTTCTTCATAAGAAAACTGAAGTGATTGTCAGTGAGTAATTTTGAATACCATTATTGATAATGATCTGTTGACAGAGGTAGAGATCCCACGTGCTGTGGATGACAAGGTTCACAAGATCTTCCTGGACCCCACTGGGAAGCACCTGATCATCAGCATGAAGTGTGGCGACAACTACTACCTCTCAAGGAACTCCAAGAAGCCCAAACCTATTGCCAAACTCAAGGTACAGCACCAGCAGTAATCAGTATAAAATTAGAATAGTAGAGGAGGCACTACTTCCGGTACTAAGCTGGTTTCCAGCTCCCTTTTCGTGCACCATCGTGCGACATGTGAGACAGGGCCCAGCTTACTGCCAGTATCAGATTTCTGGTGAAGTGTATATTCAAGAACTAGTTCTGGTTCCAAATTGCAAGACCGCCAAATATGACTTCACTAGATCAGACCAAGTGTGCAGCCAGTTTTTGCTGTCACAGCTGCTGACAGTCGTAATAGTTTGGGGTTGGTCAGATTGGAAATTTGTTATACCTGCAAGGACAATCAGTTCCTTACTGTCAACTGACAACCTTGAGACTAAAGTACTGTCGGAAATGCTAGAAAAATGCTTTTTAGCCTTAATATCTTTATAAAGGTGATAAATGTACTATGTTGTCAATATATCAACTCGCCTATTGTCTACCTAATTTTTATTTCAATCGATTTAACATTCCCATGCATGTAAAGGGCAGTTTACAGGAGAGAATTTGGTACCAAAACAGCAACTTCAGATTTTTTCAGAGTTCAACAACAGAAATCTGAAATAGTCTTTAGATTTATGCTAATAATACAGGTGGTGTAAAAATATGAATTAACGTTTTTCCTAAACAAATAAATGTTGAATGTTTGTGTTACTTTACTTAATTACCGTTTTCTTTATTGAAGAAATATTAATATACTTGTTAAGTCTTGATAAATAAGTTTCCCGTCATGCATGCACATCTTTATCACAGCGTCCACTATGGCCAACGATTTGCAGTCGATTGTTGCAAAGGTTTATAGTTTTTTTCTGCTTAAAAAAGACAGAGGTAAACCTTTCATTAGTTTAGAAAGGGTTTATTACAGAACTTGTAGAGCTGTTGGCATGTCTTACCAACAAGTTTACAATATTGTAAACAAATCAGACAAGACAGGGACCGTCTCAAATGCACAACCGGGACGTAAAACCATCCTTGACAACTTTGACAGAGGAGTGCTTAGACGGGCGGTCTACAAACTTTATGAGAAGAAAAATATATATATTCTAAAGAAGCTACACCAGTGACTTCGTTAAATCTTTGGCCAATGTTCACAACTAGATTAAACTGACCGAATTACATCCATATTTTTTCAGTGAAATATACTGTCGACATGCAAAACATATATTTAAACGTTGCACATTTCTACAATCAATCGATAAGATAACACAAGTGATAGGATTCTTTCCAATGTACAGTAATTCGTATGTTTATTTCAAAACAAACACACATACACAAATGGTCCCTTACATAACTGATAATTATACTATACGTACACATATTCAACATTTTGCAGAAAACATCTATTGAGATGACCCTCTCGCCGGCGTGTGCTCAGGTGTCAATTTCACCTGTCGATACCGTGCATGCTGATGACGTAATACAGGCAGTTAATGTTTGTTTCAAATAACGTCCAACTACCCCTTATTTTTCTAAGTTTTGGTTTTTTCATCAGTAAAAACACATTTTAGAGCATGTCTCAAAATTTATTCCCTCGGTCTACATTAGGTAGATGTTTCTTGAAGTGATATTTGTTATTTAAGTAACTGTAATACCTCTGAAATTTAAATATAAGTCAAAAAGCATTTTTCTAGCATTTCCGACAGTACTTTAGTTGAAAAGGTATGAAACATTGTTTGTCACCGGAAGTACTAAGGTCTCGTGAAGTGCTGTGACCTACTTACAGACCATTTTGGTCATGTCATTCTATCTCTGCTGTATTTGCTCCAGGGTCACCTGATCGACTCTGTAGGGTGGAACTGGCAGAATGCTAACGAGGCAACCACCAGCGCTATACTTCTCGGGACAAGCAAAGGTAAGGGTTATATTTCTTGTTGATCTGCCGATCAGTCAAATATAATGTTCAATAGATGTGACAAAACATACATTTGAGGAAACTCTCATTTGTTCCAACAAAGTCTTTTAACATATGGTGTATCCCAACTGTGCCCACTTTTCTTAAAACAACAAAATGCAGTCACCCGTAGAACAATTGGGGGATTAGTTATAGTATGCTTCGATTAACTCTCATTTAACTGGTGTTTCCGGTTATGTTGATGACATGTTATTGATGTTACTCATACTGATGTTTCTTAAGATGCATATCACTTGTATGTTAATACATTATTACTTCAAACTCATTACACTTATGTCTTGCTGAGTTAATGCCAGTTACATACTAGTTTATGAATTAAATATGTAGTTGATGACTTAGGAGTTAAGTAGACTATACTATATACCACTGCCCACTAGCCTGATACAGACTATACCCTAATCCCTCTGTTGTTTCAAAAAGTGGGCACAGTGGGAGTAAACCTAACAAATTTGAGTGATATGAGACTCCAAATTTGAAATGTCTGTCATAGATAAATATGGGACGGATAGTTTTTCATTGCCTTTTTTTAATTTCCTTTTTTAACAAGCATATTTTCTTTTCCATAAACAATTTTGAAACAGCAATCTCTGTTCTATATCTATTTCAGTGATCAGAATTTCACCTGAAAGCCAAGGATCCGTGTCATAACCCTAATGTTTGTAAAGGTTTTTGAGGTTTAATGAACCCATGACGATTGTAATTACTTACCTTATGTCCAGGCATTATATTTGAGACGGAGCTGACAGCCAATGAGGACAGTCGTTTCTTCCAAGGGAGCCTGGACCAGTACTTGAGACAAGTAAGGGTTGTGTACCTGTATACACCATATCCTAGGGGTGACTGTTGAGGCTGTTTCACTATTTCAGTAGTTTACAAATGTACCCCACACTAATATGATTTGATTGCAATAGCATTAAACCAACTTTAAGGCTTGATAGCTAAGGCTTGATCTGCGTAAAAGAAATGAATAAAGTATTGTTGACATTGTCTGAACCAGTAATAACCCTTTCTGTCATCACGCTAAAAAACAAATGGCAGTAACTCTCATCTGAAGTGGTCATAATTCTTACTAATCAACACATGGCAGATCAAGTTTGAATTTACGCTGAAAAAAAAGGAGAAGCACATAATTTATGTATTATTTGTGACTTTTGAAACTTTTAACTGTTATGCATTATCTCGACAGTACAATTGTAGTGCATCGTTAAGGCAAACAATTGCAGTGTATCAATATATCATGACACTCCTATATTAGTGCCATCTCAGTATTGCCATAGTTCTGTGGCAGATGAAGTATGGTACTATAAAGGATTAAAGTGGTCCACACTGACAGCAGTGAGTGACCTGACCTAGATGAAGACTACCCATCTAACTGTCGTTCATTTCCCAATGGGCATCTGTATGTTACATGATTACATTGTCATTTGAGTGGAGAGTTACAGGGCTACATTTGGGCAATTCTAAAAATAATGTCCCATTAGCACAGTATCATCATATGACCTTTAGACAGATTGTGTAATAAATACAGGATCACAGAAAGGTAAAGAGATTGCTCTACTTACCGAAAGAAATCACACAGCCTCACACTGGGATGTATAGGAAATGCAACCAGGTTGCCTCAAGTTGTAACCCTATCTTCAGCAGCTCATCTGACCTTTGTATGACTCAAACAAGCACCCACAGTTCACAGAACATTCATATTAATCCATTTACAGCATCACTTGGGTCTGGATTGCATTCCCGTTCCAGTTTTTCTGGGTTTACCTTACTTTTCAAGTGAATGAAACCATCGGTTCCAGGTTATGATTCATGAATTCAACGAAAGGAAACAATTGATAATAGATTGCAAGAATAAGAGATTAAAAGAAAAATTCAAACCCAAAATCATTTCAAAATTATTATCCATCTGTAATGTTTTTAGGCAAAGTACTTTGAAGAAGTTAATTAAGGATTGAAGTTGTACTTGCTGATGTTCATCAGCTGATGAAGACAGTGCCTAAAAGTCGAATGAGCAAATTTTCCATGAAGTGCAAATTTACTCATATCATTTACTCTTTACCAGCTGATTTACGTCAACAAATACAACTTATGCTTATATTGACAGTTACATGTCTCATAACCAAACAATCCATTCAAACACCAAACATAATTATTTAAAGAGAACTTTATTATTATTGAACCGGAAGCTGGCAGGGGTAATGGAGGCGAAGAACGATTTGATGTGGGATGAGTGGCGCTTAAAATGTTGCATTAGATATGTTTTACGTGAGTACTTATTAAATATGAGGTTGGGAATCTGAGATCACAGCCCCCGTGAGGAAATGGGTGTCTACCTTTGATGGTGGCGATATTTTATTTTGATATTAAAAATATTTTTCGAACCCAAGCGGGGGAAGTATGTTGCCAACCTTTGCTCGCTTCACTCGCATATAGGAAGACTGGTCATTTTCTCTTTGTTGCGCAACCCTATTTGCATTACAGTTTGCCTGTGCTTTTATAAACTAGTTCCATCTACCGTGAACTTTTTCAACCAAAACTGGTGCCTTACTGAAGCCTTTGCCCTAGTATTTGGCACCACAATAATTTGTTCGTTGTTCGCCATTTTACAACAAATGCACAACTTCTGGTGTGAAAAACCGAAATATCTGAAGATTTCCAAGTTTTACGAAGTTTTTTGAATGCGTGTCAAAATACCAGTTTTCGATCAACGTATCGCAATACATATCGTTTTTATGTCTGAACCGGTAAATACCAGTAAACTGGTTATAATGCGCTATTTCGCAGCCCTACTAATTATCATTCGCAGTTGCAGAGATTGCTGCAGACCTGAGTTCTGTTGGTCAGTTACCCGATGAAATCCATCTTCATCAGTTACATTTCTTGGTGTATGTTGAATCTATGGACAACTAGAGAAATCTAACTCTTGTATTACCAGACAATATAATGCAATTCACAATGGACTTGTTTTGGAGTAACCTCCCCTTATCTCAATACTTTGTTCAGTTAAAGCTTGCAACGAAACCTCACGAGGTAAGATTGTCTGGTTCTGTTGTCCATGCTATGTCAGTAATTTATGTATGTCTTGCCATTACCCATCTCCACATCAGGCAAATTTGTGTTTTTGAACTGTGTTTATCTTGATATGTCTGTTTACAGTGTGTTTATTTTCCACCTGGATGAAATTCACTAGTTTTGTTTTGGAGTATACAATTTATGTTGAATGATAGTATATGTGAATTTGTTGCAATTGTTTAGTTGCTGCTGCCACATTTTGAAATTTTATACTTTTACGAAGCCTTCTTCTTCTGATTTCACCGAAATTCTGATTGAGATCACAGAAAGTTATTTGCTTATCAGCTGCCTTACATTCATGCCACAAAACACTGAGAATGTTTAACTGTAAACCAGTAACGATGTGGTGACTGTAATCCATGAGGTTCCAATAATCTTTTCTGCAGTAACAAGTAAGTATTACGAGAATCCCACCATTGAATTTTGGTGCCCCGCCCCAGAGCTCACCCTTGAAATTTATACCAAATTATAATGTCCTGGAGAAAGGTCACCACTCAACATAAACACAATAATCATATACTGCAATAAGCATGAAAATATGTTTGCTTTTGTATGTGAAGGCAACAGATTAGTTAAATGTAATGTGACAAATTATATTTTAGTTAATAGTTGACTCGTTCACCAACATACCGGTAGTAGCTTTAACCAATATTGGTACTTGGACAAACCTTCGGTTCTACTCCCTTGCAGGTAGGCCTTAGAAAATTCATATATCTGCTTCCTTATATGTCTCTCGACATTAGACAAAAATAAGGACGGTTAGTTGTCATCTTGAAGGTTAGTTGAACTAGTCCCACCCGCTCACCCCTATAAACTTGAAATCCCAAGTTTTCTATCTTGCAGTAGGTATAATATGTATGACCTGTTTTAGAAATTAAACATTGGCTTTCTTGTCCCAAGTCTTAAAATTTTGAAGTTGAGTGTATTTGATCTTTTACTTTTATCATGTTTATTAAATATTTGCCTTTTGTGAGATTTTGTATTTTTACTTGTCAGATGTTCAACCTGGGTAGAGATAAGCCTCAGCCAGTGACGAGTCTTCAATTTGATCGTCTGCCGTCAACTACGATGACAGAATATCGCTACTACATTCTTGCAACCACCCCAGGGTGAGCACATTCAATATAGTGAACAACCTTATACTCCAACCGACACTTGAAAAATATGAGCATTTCCACAAAGTGATATAATGTGTTACTTCTCTCAAAAGCACATTCATCTGGTAACAGATCCGGGTTAAAATTGATCTTCAGCAGCTCGTGTTTGTTGTAACTAACGGCATCAGGTGGTCAGACTCGCTGACTTGGTTGAGACATGTCATCATATCCCCAATGCATCGATTGATGCTCATGCTGTTGATCACTGGATTGTCTGGTCCAGACTCAGTTGTTTACATGCCACCACCATATGGCTGGAATATTGCTGAGTGCTCCATTAAACAGCAAACAAATACCTGGTGACAGCTTTGTAGTGTCTCCATCAGCCTCCATCATATACTAGATGTCAGAATGTGTACATTTGATGTCAAAATCATATCTAATCACAATAGGGGCGGTGGGGTAGCCTAGTGGTTAAAGCGTTGGTTCGTCACGCCAAGGACCCGTGTTCGAATCCCCACATGGGTACATTGTGTGAAGCCCATTCCTGGTGTCCCCCGCCGTGATGTTGCTGGAATATTGCTAAAAGCAGCGTAAAACCAAACTTACTCACTCACTCTAATCACAATAATGTTGGTTGCTGTGATACTCTTATATAATGCTCTGCAATAGCACTTAGCACATGTGGTAGTCCATACCTTTCACCCCCATAATTTCATGGACCATGTCTCTCATGCATATTGGGGCGGTGGGGTAGCTTAGCGGTTAAAGTGTTTGATCGTCACGCCGAAGACCGGGGTTCGATTCCCCACATGGGTACAATGTGTGAAGCCCATTTCTGGTGTCCACCAACGTGATATTGCTGGCATATTGCTAAAAGCGGCGTAAAACTAAACTCACTCACTCACTCACTCTCATGCATATTCATCACCTTCACCAGACAAATCAGCATTTTCTTTTCTGTTTGCCAGTTGTTTTGGGGATTTGTATAACTCTTTTTACCTTTCATTTTCAGTCGTCTGTACCAGTTTATCGGGACAGTGTCCACGTCTGCCGAGCCTCCCATGTTCATGTCCCTCTTCCAGCAGTATGAAACAGGCGTGGGTAAGGAACACAAGATACTGGAAACACCAGATTCATGATCACAGTGTTTGTCTGATTATCTCTAGAGGCAGAATGTTACATCTACCCCTTAATTAAAACGGGCCCCAAATAACATATTCTGGTGGGAGCCTGGGATTGTTTTGACAGGATTTATTGGTTACTCGTTTTTAATGTGCTTTTTTTTTGGTGAAGAATGGATGACTGGTAATTATTTTGTGTTCTACATGGTTTTTTCAAGGACATACAACATATTTCGGGGACAAATTATTTTGTTCTGGAAGGAAATACAGAATCTCCTTCACTGCCCAATATCAAATGATCAGTCCCTTTTTTGGGCCAAATATCGAGGATCAAGTGACCAGCTGTGCGTGACCATCCTGAATCATTGTGTCATGTGTAATACAACATTCACATCCTCATCAGCTTGTATCATGTTTGTATCATGTTTGTATCACTTAATTTCTCACGTAAAGTGCTCCATGGGGATTTTCTTTTATCTTTCAATGCCACACAAAACGAATTTTCAGGATAAGTAAAGTGTATATTTAAATAGAAAGGTGTTTAATGTTTCATGAATCTAACTATATTTTCAGAAACAGTGCAGTTTCTTGAGTTACCAGGCGACTTTGGTTACAGTGAGCTGCACTTGTTCTTCCCCAAGTTCCGCCAGGCGGCTACAAAGTTTGCCTGGATGACAGGTTCTCTTTCATTGCTATAGTAGACATATAAAGTAACACAAAGCGATTTTGCATGAAGAATTAGCCCTTCCCAAACAAGTGGACTAGTGTCTGTGTCTAACATTGCAGTACATAAACATCCTAGAATAGTGTTAATTCAGATAATTTGATTGAAAAAGTTTGCTATTTTGCCAATTCAAATTGAAAAAGTCTGCAATGTATTTCTATTTAGTCAGTTTGTAAGAATACTTCTAGGTAAGCTGTGACTGGTAAAAGTGCACTTTAACATGCTTCCCACCATCCCTTGTTTCAGGGCCTGGTATTTACTATGGAGATATTGACGTCACAGGAGCAGCAGGACCTAACTCAGTATTGTCCAATGCTAAACTCATGCCGTATCCTTTAACTGTAGCTCACTCTTAGTTCCAATTACATCTGTATCACTTTATTAGATAACACAAATCTCAAAAGCACATGAGAACTCACTGTAAAACATCAGAATGCTGCTCACAGATAAAGACCAAAAGAACACCTTCAAGGTTAATATGGAGTAATATGAAGTTAGATTTTACAATATAATTGATCTTTTTAAGTATACCTTTCACTTTTTGAAATGTTATTTTGTCAAACATTAATAAACAAGAAAGCTATCATTAGATAGATAGATGTCACAAGTATATGCAAAGGATTATTTTTGAGATTGACTTGAATTGTGGTGTCCGAAAGAGAGTATCCTTAACCTGACACAGCTACCCGAAGGAGGCAGATGAGAAAACAGCACCCCCTGTATCAATGCTGCTCACAGAATTCCATGTACTCATACTTTACCCAGACAGGTAGAAATATTAATATATGTCGTCTCTCAAAGTTTTCAGTAACCCATGCTTGTCGTACGAGGCGACCAACAGGATCGGGTGGTCAGGCTCGCTGACTTGGTTGATACATGTCATCATATCCCCATTGTGCAGATCGATGCTCATGCTGTTGATCACTGGATTGTCTGGTCTAGATTCCATTATTTACAGACCACCGCCATATAGCTGGAATATTGCTGAGTGTGGCGTAATAGTAAACTCACTCACTCCCCCTCACTCAAAGTTAAGGTCCAGGTTAGAATTGGTCCCCAGCAATCTGGATAGTTGATGGTGTGTCATTGTAGCCTAAAAATTGATTGTGAAGTATACCAATCACTGGATTATCTGGTGCATCATGTAGCTGCCCGTGAAGATCAGGGTTAGAATTGGCCTTCTGCAACCCCTGCTTGTCAGAAGGGATGACTGACGTGATCGGTTGGTCAGGGTCGCTGGGTTGTGTCATCATATCCCAATTGTGTTGATCAATAATCTTGCTGTTAATCACTAGATTGTTTCGATTCAGACTTTCAGACTCAATTAGTTACTGACCACCACCTCATAGCTGGAATATTGCTGAGTGTGTCATTAAACATCAAACAAATCATGAGCTTGAAGATTGCTGAGGGCAGTTTTTAACAAGTGAACAAAACATTTGTGTATGGAATCTGAAGTGAAGTATTATGCGCCTTTTGTGTTGATGAATGTAGATTATTTGAATTGTATGGGGATTCCATGAATGTCCCCAGTGCCACATGCATAGGCAGGGTGAGTGACTTAGCTTTTACCAAGTCATCACTCCGATTACATATCTATCATCAAGCTTACAGCAGCTTGTTGGTATGGTCAAACTTGGTTATTACTCAGTGCAGAGTTGGTTGCTTGGCCATGACAGATATCTATGATTGGGGGTTACAATCTGTTGTCACCATTATGGTTATGTGAGCACTGTACCTATGATTGTTGGGGCTTTCCTCCAACATTGAGCTGAACGACTGTGACATTACTGGATAACTGTGCAAAGCGACATTTAACTCAAGTCACTCACTCACTCACTGCGACACTAATGCTGGAATATTGTGAATTATTAACTCACTCAATACCAATACTAGATGGGGTTTATTAACCACCCAACACCTCTATGTTACCACTCCCCAAACCAAACAACCAAACAGTATTTTTTTAACCTGCATCAATTTTTGACAGGATCCCTTACTGACTGTGCCCGTCTTTACCTTTGCAGATTAAAAGCTGTGTGTGTGCTGAACGAACAACTTATATACGATGATGTATATGTGGAGGTAAGTAAGGAAAAAGTATTACAAAGGTTCAACATTAATTTACAATTGTGATTGTGTTTTTCATAATTCATAAGTCTTTTTTCAAAGAAAATGTGTTTTCCCTGATCTCAAATGGAGAGATCAGCTGAGCTGTAAGGATCTGTGACTTGGTTGATGCACGTCCTCCCTGACAGTGGATCATTGTTCCCAATATGTATCACTGGATTATCTGGTTCAAAGTTGATTATTTATGGACTGATGACATATAGGTGGAATATTGCTGAGTTAGTGTGTTAAACTAACAAACGACATGTTTTCTATGTGACAGAGGTTTGGTAGACTGCTGGGCTGCTGCAAAGATCCGATCCGAGGTCAGGTGTGGACCTACACTACCAACAGTGTATTCAAGTACAAGATTGTGAAGGAGGCGCGTGACGTCTGGCAGATGTACCTGGACAAGGGGCAGTTTGAACTGGCCAGAGAATACTGCAAGGTACTCATCAGTTAAAGCAAACTGTGATAGATCAGATGTTTGTGTGAACCTTACTGGTTTTGGAATGTGTTGTTTGTAGACATATTTTTCAGTTCAAAGTTACTACCTTCAGACTACCAAAGACCTTTTTGTATGGATTGAAAATGTGTACTAATTGATGCCATAAACCACATTATTTGTAGACTTGTTTGAAACACACTGGTATTTTGCTGTCTCCATATGAGGACTTTTTCAGAAATTGAAGGCAAAAAATGCCCCACAGATTTGTTGCATCATTAGGTTTACATAAACTAAGTTAGTCTTGCATGACTTGAACCTAAGGATGAGCTACGATGTACATTGTTTTTTAAAAACGACAAAACTTTTAGAAATCATTACGGAAACTGTGACACATATTCATGTAAATGAGAATTATACTTTGGTCATTGCAACATGTTTTGCACTAATGGCAACACTAAGATGTTGCTATGTCAGTTTGACCTGACTCTTAGATTGTCTGTGTTGAATCCTGTAATGACAGTACATCAATTCATAGATTGTATAACGCTGATCATCATGTGTGTAATGTCTCCATTCTGTTGCAAACATGGGACCTATTTGCTACCGTATCAGTCAGATCCAGTGATAACCACTTTCTGCATGTTCCATCTATGTACACTATAACATGGCAATCGCTGTTTTAGAACAGATTCGGGTTAGAATTGATCTTCAGTAACCCATGTTTGTCGTAAAAAGGATCAGGTGTACATGCTTACTGACTTGGTTGACACACTGTTGATCACTGGATTGTCTGGTCCAGACTCAATTATTTACAGACCATGATCATATAGCTGGAATATTGCTGAGTGTGGTGTAAAACTAAACTCACTCACTTTTAGACCAGCATTACTGGACTATGCTCCCTGTTCTTGTCAGATCACAATAATTTGTAATATGTGCCAATCGGACACATGAGACTGGGCTCTCTGACTTGGGCCTCAGATGTGGTTTCTCACAAACACAAATATGCCTTGGACAATGTATTTCCGTTATCAGCATCAAAAGTTCTCCCACCCAATCTGTAATCTGATTGCATGTCTGTTTTTTTGCATATCTGACTCAAAAATGAAGCTGGGAGTGTGGATGAGTCGAGTTGGTTTGTTGGTTTGTTGTTTAACACCACACTCAGCTATATTCCAGCATTATGGCATCAGTCTGTAAATAATCGAGTCTGGACCAGACAATCCAGTGATCAACAGCACAAGCATTGGTCTTCACAATTTGGATCCGATGACATGTGTCAACCATGTCAGCGAGCCTGACCACCCGACCCTGTTAGTTGCCTTTTACGACAAGCATAGGTTGCTGAAGGCCAATTCTAACCAGGATCTTCACGGGTAGGATGAGTCAAGAATAATTATCTTAAAGAAATGGGGTTTGAAAAGTATATATACAGTAAATGAACATGTATTTTTCATACAGACTCTATGTTGTGAATGCTTGTAACTGTAATGATTCTATATCTACACAGGATAATCCATCACAGTTGGACAAGGTGTTAACCAAGCAAGCTGAATACCTCTTTGAAAACAGAAAGTAAGTGAACTAAATGTCATTACAATTACATAAGTACGTAAACTGTTTTAAAAGTACTCATTTACTTTTTGCTATTAATTAAGTAAGATATTTAAAATACTATAATTAAAACAAAAAATCTGTGAAACAAATAAAAAAGTGTTGCATAAAAGTGTGATAAGAGGCTGTTCTGTGGATGGTCTGTTTTCACACTGCTGCGAGTAAATAAAGAAGAGTTCATTCTTACAGAGAATTAGCTGTGGCTCATTATAGATGACCAGTATAAATGATCTTCAGCACCCATCGAATGGCATTAATCAATTTCAACATTCCAGATATGAAGCCAGTGCTGCCATGTATGCAGAAACACAGAATTCATTTGAAGAGATCGCCCTCAAGTTTATCCGACTTCCACAGAAAGAAGCCCTCAAAACCTTTGTACAGAAAAAAATGTCTGCTTTACGACAAAGTGTAAGGAAAAGATATTGTCATGTTACAGTCTTACACTTAAAATTTTATTTTTATTTCAGTATTATCTTTGTTTGCTCAGTTGAACTAAGACTTCAAGTGAACTTATGTTGCGGTGAATGTTTAAATTTGTCATTTTTCCACTTGCAGTGTCATTTTTGCTAATAGCATAAAATATTTGAAATTGAAACCCATGCGATATCATAGGGGTCTAAACAATTTATAATATTAGCCCACAGTGCTTGAGAAACCATGTTGGGTGTAGTTCGCGGTCAATGCCAGACAAACCATATATGGTTGCAGGACAAGACGCAGATGACGATGCTTGTGACGTGGCTGATCGAGCTGTACCTCAACCAGCTTGGGGAGCTGAAGGAGCAAGGCATGGATGACTCTGACGACTACATGCGCATACAGGAAGAGTTCCGAAAGTTCCTTGGTCAGACCAGGGTCAAGGTCAGTGCCATATGCTAAATCTGACTTAACAAGGATCCTTTTCCACTGATTAAATGTAACAACAGTTATTTGCTGAGATTACTTAATTTATACAAGTAGGCTTGAAGTAGCTTGAGTTGCTGATCATTTACAGGTGTAGACACAACTGGTCAGATCCAACTTTTCTATTTGGACTATTGGCTTATATCATGTATGTAACATAGCTTGATTTTGGGAGAAAACAACTGGTGTATCTGGATTTCCACAATCCTCCATATTTCCAGGGCTTGCATTTCACTAAACCTGTACTTACCCTTGGATCGATTCGCAAGGTTCTTGTGATCACAAATTACCTGCCCTTGATTTTCCTCAGCTTCTTACCAATCAGTCATATGTCCATAGGGTTAAGGGTCAAGAAGGTTATTCCTATGAAGCAGGAACCTAGTTAACTGCCAGTTTTAATGGACATGAAGATATTCTTTCCATCAAAAAGATGTTTAAGAGCCTTCTTTTGCATGTCAGTCATAATCAGTAGGACTGCCTGCCATGTTGTTGATAATGGCAACCCTAATATTGAGGCTTGTTTGTAACTCACAATGTGATAGGTTATTTAGACCAAGTAGAGTAGCCAATCAAACAAGGACATGGGAATCAAGGGCGGGTAATTTGAGATTATGAGACCAAAAGGAATGGTTCCAAGGGTTGGTCAGGTTATCTTATTTATATATCTGTTCTTTATTGTGATTTCACAAGTGTTCATCTGGATTTTGATAAGTACTTCTGTGTTCGTGTCTATAAAAATGCAATCATTTTTTTACTTCATACAATTTGTAATTTGAATGAAACTTGGTCGAAGGTGTCATCATAAATGGTTAATGAGAAATTTGGGAGCACCTTTAGAATACAGCACCACAACTTCTCTCGTGAAGACAATCTCTGCCGTAGGTCACATGTCAGTAAGACAAGCAACCAGTTTGTGAGAATCCGTCGGACGCGAACCCGCGACCTTCGGATTGTTAGCTCGACAGCTAACCGACTGAGCTACGTCCACACTATTGCATAATGTGCAAATTTATCGAGTCATTCCTGTGACGTCACGGAAATGAACGGAAAGAGTCGAATAGGTCACGGACAATTACGAATGCTACGGGTAGACTTGGTGTCACGTGATTTTATTCTTCGGGACAATTGCCGAATGGATCCGATGCCATTTGGCACACTCGTCCCATTCCGTAATCTACAAATTAACGTGTGGCGTGGAATGAGCCGATATGCCTCAAACTGAAAAGGGTTGTTGACGTCAGGCGTCAGACGTACATTTCACGGTGCATGCATGAATGACGCTTTTTATATAAATCGGTGATTTTGTGACAGAAAAGTGATGTAGGGAACACTGTAAGGATAATGTGGATCGCACTAAGGAACGAGGGAGACAGGAGCATGTGTAGTGACGGCACGAGGGTGAGTTAGCCTTCGAATCATTACTGAACAAAATTTATGTTGCGTGTGAAAGAGGCTTGAGTGCAAATTCCAGGCCAATTTCCATTAGCCCAAAATTTCTACATTAACCCATTTCATAATGTACTTTCGACGCGTTTTGGGTTTCCCGCTTTTGAGTGAAAAAAAAGTATTAAAATGCAAAAAAGAAAAACAACAAATGGTACTCACGTATTACACCGGACATGTACCTGCTATATTGGATTAGGTCCCTAACCCTAACCCTAACCCTAACCCTAACCCTAAACCCTAAACCCTAAACCCTAAACCCTAAACCCTCAGCCCTAACCCTAACCCTAACCCCTTGAAATAATCCTAATAAATAGAATGCATTGACCGAACCACCGGACATGTACCTACTATATTGCATTAGGACCCCAACCCTAACCCTAACCCTAAGCCCTAAGCCCTAGCCCTAACCCTAAGCCCTAAGCCCTAGCCCTAACCCTAACCCTAACCCTAACCCCAATCCCTTGAATTAATCCTAATAAATAGAATGCATTGACCGAACCGGCACAAACACGACTGACGTGTCTAGTGTAATGCATTTGTACCGCTTCGAAAAATAAAATACTAATAAAACACTTTTCTATGTAGTGGTGCAAATTACTGAATGACAAAAATATATATGTAAATTTAAAAAATTACAAAATACAAAACACACAAAACATAACACCTCAGCAGCCCGTAATACAAATAAATATGAGCGTATTAGTGAAAAAAGAAAAATATTTCAAACTGGTGCTTGCAAAATATTGCGCATCCGCCGGTATACAACTACTTGAAACTCTCAACATCGTTGGGCTTATGCAATGATATAGCTCGTAGAGATGAAACACCAGTGAGCGGAGCTTATACGCACTCGCTGAGCCAGACAACCGTGTTGCCATGCAGGCGTCATAGGGCATTGTATCGAGAACGTGCTTTCGAACAAGATCACATTACATTACGTAAAAGGGTATTATGACGTATTTTTAAAGTTTGTGGTGCTGTATTCTAAAGGTAGGCCGAAATTTGAGATGTTTTGATTTTTGCAGAATGTAGCCAATATATTGTCTGTAAGTAACACACAATTCACATGACAGTTGAATAATAATGCTAATATTCTGCTATAGGAGACAGCGTCCAACAACCGTGGGGTTGTGTACGACCTGATAGCTAGTCATGGTGATGTGGAGGACATGGTCTTCTTTGCTGTATTGATGAAAGGTCAGTCCCCTTCTTACCACTGTGTCACTGCTGGACATTTGGAATTTCTTTAGGATTATTTGTCCATTTCATGTTGAAACAATAAGTTAACTCAGAAATTTGTATGCAGAAGATTGATTGAGTTTAGCTTTATGCGGCTTTTATGAATATTATGGCAGGGGACACCAGAAATGGGCTTCACACACTGTATCCATGTGGGGATTCGAACCCAGGTCTTTGGCGTGACGAGCAAACGCTTTAACCATTAGGCTACCCCACCAACCCCTGTACGCAGAAGAATTCATTATGAACAACATGTTATACAGTTAACAAATGTAATTTAAAATTAATGTGGTCTACAAATCAGTGCAAAGCTTGGCAAATTTATTAGAAATAAATATATAGAGAGTGGAAGTACGAAATGGCAGTATAAAGCTCAGGACAGTGAACATAAATTTCACTCGTATTTCCCATATTTTCTGTAATCACTCGTACCTCGTGGGTTATTATTCTCTAACTATTGAATCTTAACAGAAACAATGTAGTACAGTCACAACATTGTTTAGCATTATGTACCAGTTTTTACTGCCACATAGTGTTCTTGAAGTTTCTTCCTATTGCACTGAATCTAGGTTCCCTATAAAACTTATAACTTTCAGCATGTGGGTTGTGACTAGGTCCTCTTGACTTTCATGCTTAAACACTGTGCAGAGTTGCATCCCTTATTCATGCCAGGATCTGATGCTCATCGGTTTGAATCCCATGTTCACCCTGGTGATGATCATGTGTTTGTCAGCACAATACCTATGCTACACTCACCCACTGACTTAGTCACTCAGCTGAAGATATTTCTTCCGATGCCTACAGTTTTCCTCTCCATAAGCTCAACTGTCTGCCATGGGTGTTTCAGACTATGAGAGAGTCATCAGCCATCACATCCAGCATGAGAACTACAAAGGTGCCCTGGATGTGTTGAAGAAACAGGTAGGTTTCCTTACCTGGTGAGACCATGACATTGTGCTGGAACAGCTGAATGCTGTGAATAATACCATATTGTCATTGTAAGTTAATTATTGTGATATAAAGGAGAACTTATGAGAAGGTGTCTTTGTTCACGGACAGTACTAGTGTTTGCATGAGTGTTGAATATTACATACCTCCTATAAGTGAATATCCCTTCAATGTGGGCAATAAAGTATTTGAATTCCGAAATCAAATATGAAAACATGTCTGATGAAACACTACTGGCTAGCGACCAGTTATCGCCGCGTACCAGTTATCACCAACACCTGGCTGTAGCGCTTGCACAGACAGCTTGACTTGTACTTCCATAGTATTTCACACATTGACACATCACAAAAGCGATAGGCTACGAGAGTTAAAATCAAGCTGTCTGCGCAAGTGCTACAGCCAGGTGTTGGCGATAACTGGTCGCTAGCCAGTACATATGTGTAAATAATGCAATTGGAAAGTTGTACTTTGAATGTATGAGCCCATATCAATCTGAAGACCCAGGTTACCATGGTTACGTTCACTCGTGGATACAATTTTTAGAGCCCATTCTTCATGTTCCTGAAATGACATGGCTGATGAATGCTAAAATATATGGAAAACACCAGTTTCAACTTTAGGCTATTCCTCAAAGTTGTATTCAGATTGTGTTCAGATTAATCACTCTGTCCCAGTGACATGGATTGTTGCTCATGCTGTCACCCACTGTTTTTTCCTGACCATGACCTTTCAGTTTTCATTAGGTCATGATAGAGATGTAATGTTGCTGATAGCAGCGTAAATCAACTTTCTTTGCACTCATTTATTGAAAGATTCCCACAAATGCTGTCTTTGTTTCGTCAGAGTGAGGTTGAGCTGTACTACAAGTTCTCTCCCCTGCTGATGCAATATACACCGAAGGAAACTGTGGATGCCTGGATGACCCAACATAAGTACCTTGACCCCAAACAGCTTATCCCCGCCCTAGTGCAGTATGACCATCAGAAATACAGGGAACAGGTGGGTAGTTCATTCAATCATTTACTTCACATTCAGTAATGGTGAATATACCTCATACTTTAAAGATAACAAAGTATTAAACTAACTGTCAAAGCTCCTATACCTACATACCATGGCAGAAGGGTTCGTTGTCGGCACGGGTACTACAGATGTGTACCGCAGGTATGTTCCTGTATACAGAAACGTACCATAGCCAAAGTCAGAATACAGAAACATAGCCAAGGAAGAGTGCATTCTGCATTGTGCTGTTTCCTGATCAGAATTTTCATACTGTTGTATTCGATACATTTGATTGTGTTATATGACAACCAAGCAAGAACAACTGTAACAAATATTTCACGATGCACAATACCACTTGCACCCAGTTAAACTGGAACAACTACATACAGTTTCGGTTTGGGGTTGCCTGAATATGGACTCGTCTCTCGTTTAACGTACATTTAACGTTTCTGTGTGTTTGATTTTGTTTAGGGTACATTCCTGTATGCATTTCTGTATACAGAAATGTACCCGGGGTACACTTCTGTAGTCCGAATGCCAACAGCGATCAAGGTCCAAGATCTGTCCTATTGACCTGGTGTAGGACCAGGGTTTGTCACATCTTCTTGGTATAGTTCCAGGCCTGTCATATTGGCCTGGAACTGGTAGATGGTCTATCATATTTTCTCAGAAACTACTTATGTTACATGGATGAAACATTGCAAGGTTATATTAGATATGCTTGTCAAGACTGAGTATAAAAAATTGAGCCATAATAATTTTTTGCTCCGGACTTATCCCCCTTTTCTCCATGCTTCAAATTTTCTGCATTTCCTTTGCAGTGCATGCTTTTAAATAATCAGCTTTGAGGTAAACACCTCAAATTCTAATGTGCTTGATGGCCAAGGTGATAAAGCTGATTTCTTGTTTATGTTGGATCATGAGTCCTTTTTAAGATGAAATTGGGCAATAATATCAAAATTTACAGCTTTACTTTCTTTGCTCACTTATCATTACTGGGGGATTATCAGGAAAAATTTCAATTTAACTGAACATGTGCGGTAACAGTGTTCAATGTATCCAAATATTGCCAACTTTTCCAAATACATGTATTCTTGCTGATGGTGTTTCAGGGTAATGAAGCTATCCGGTATCTCGAGTTCTGTGTGCACAAGCTGGGCAACAAGGACGGTCCCATTCACAACTATCTCCTGTCCCTGTATGCCAAGCTGCAGTCTGATCAACTCATGACCTACCTCCACCTGCAAGGGGAGGTAAGCACTGGTGTTATCAGGTGTTATCACATGTGACAGTAGGATGTAAAACTTCCCTGAATATAGTACCCTTGTGTTCAAGTAACTTGAGGAGATTAGTTATGTGTGTTTCTAAATCAAAACGTTGTATTTTGCCTGTGTGTTCCTCGTGTATGACATTGACAATACTGAAACCTGAGACCATATAATAGATATTGTATGGTCTCTGCTGAAACACACTACGCTGCTAATAGAGACCCACACCCAATGTCTGTAGGTTTTGTGGATGAGTGTTGCTTTATTTCATATCCAAAGGCATGAGGGTGATATGTTATTTATCATCTAATGTCATCCTTCCAATAATTTCCGTAAATCTTTATCGTATAAAGTCTTCCATTAATAATCAAGCTTTAACAAATTCACTCATCTTTAGAAACCACATTTGTATTTGTAGCCATTTTTGATTACAGGAATACCAAAACATTAAAAAGCCACTGTCTAGTACCATTGGGAGTGTCCCAAGAACAGAACTAGAATCTTTACTTTACTAAGAAAGTGTCACTCCAAATTTGACATATGTTGCATTTGACACCCGGGTTCAATTCCCCACATGGGCACAATGTGTTAAGCCCATTTCTGGTGTCCCCTGCCGTGATATTGCTGGAATATTGCTAAAAGCGGCGTAAAACTAAAACTCAGTGCATTTGACAACTTTCTAAAAGGCATTGTGTTTTCACAGATATTTTTTGCTTATAGACAGGAACGTCAAGGAGATGTGATCGGCTTGTCAAAGATATTTGGTTGTTTTGCAGGATGTTGATGATGTGAGTTACGACCTGAAGTATGCGCTGCGGCTTTGTTCCGAGTATGGCCACAAGAGGGCGTGTGTGCATGTGTACTCACTCATGGGCTTATATGAGGAGGCAGTCGACATGGCTCTTTCTGTAAGTAACTGCCATCCACATGTGGAGCTTTCTCATGTCTGTCAGATAATACAAAAGCTTGACCCCAGTGTATTTCAATACACAACCAGATATTCCATCTGTAGGCATGATATTTACTTGAAAGCTCATTCCTTCTTGAAATATGGATAAGTTTAAAATTATCTTCCTTGTGCAGGTTGACGTTGAGCTGGCAAAGACCCAGGCAGACAAACCTGACGAGGATGACATAGAACTGAGGAAGAAGCTCTGGCTGCGGATAGGTCAGTTACCCTTGAATTGTGATGAATTGTGTAATGTAATCCCAAATATAACATTTGTTGAATTTTACCACTTCCCAAAAGGCATTGTGTATTCATAGCTTCAGCAATTGGAGTCGTGCGAATTCACACTTGTCAGAGTGGGACTCAACCCAAAATAGAAGTACCGGTACTATGAACTAATGACTGATTGATGTCAAGAGAGCAGGGGTGGCCCAGAGGTGGCGTGAGTTGCATGCACAGCTGCAAACCTGTGCTGTGCGTGGAAGCTGTTATTGGGGCTTTTGGGCATGGGTAGCCAAGTGGTTTAAGTGTACGTTTGTCACAACGATGACCTGGGTTCAATTCCCAACATGGATCAAATGTGTGAAGCCATTTTTTTTGTTCCCAGCTGTGGTATTCCTGGAATTTGGCTAAAACCCAACCCAACTCACTCACTCATGGATGCTTCATTTGCCAGACCTCCATATAGCTGTAATAGTGCTGAGTGTGGCGTAAAATCCTCACTCACTCACTCACTCACTCATTTGCCAGATTCACTGTGATTGTGATCCATAGTTTGTTAGTACCATAACATTTGGCTCATTAATCAGATATGCCTGAAATTAACCAAGATTAAACAAGATCACTCAATATTATATCACTCATTGCTTTCTACCAATGTTGCAGCTCGACATGTTGTGGAGGAAGAGAAGGACATCAAGCGTGCCATGGACTTCCTGCATGAATGTGACCTCCTCAAGATTGAGGACATCTTGCCCTTCTTTCCGGACTTTGTCACCATTGATCATTTTAAGGTGAATATCATCATGGCTTCAAGTAATACACTGCACTGTCAGGTAGACCTGTAATGAGGCAACATCGTTTCGACAGGATACGCAGAGGATAAAATCTCTGTCTGTGACGAGAAATAATATTTTTAAAAAAGCATAAAATAAGTAGTGGCCAAGCATAAAGAACTGACCAATCAAGAGGCTCATTGTATCATCAGGCAATTCATAATGCTCATGCTGGACCAAACTACCAGTAGGGAGTGCCAGTGAGTTCAGTTTACTTAGGAACACTTGGGCACTTGAGGAACCCTATGTTGGTTGGTTTGTTGTTTAACACTGCACTCAGAAATATTCCAGCTATATGGCAGCGGTCTGTAAATAATCAAGTCTTGACCAGACAATCCAGTGATCAACAGTATGAGCATCAATCTACACAGTTGGAACACAATGACATGTGTCAACCTGGTCAGAGAGTCTGACCACCCAATCCCATTAGTCACCTCTTATGACAAGAATGGGTTACTGAAGGCCAATTCCAACCCGGATCTTCGCGGGTCTCTGTCTATGTAAAGTTACCAGTTGTGTACTGAGCTCATGCCTGTGGATCCATATCTCTGGCCCAGCCAAAGAAATCAAGTTTAGACACCATGTGTGATGGTCATAGTACTGTGGTTGTTTTGTGGTCCATTTCTTGAATCATATTGCATTGATAATTAAGGAAATCATTACAGGCTTCAGAGTTAGGACTGTGAAATGTTACAGCTCAGGGTGCCGTTCCATTAACCGATCTTAGCCCTAGGCCAATCGTAAACCCCTAAAATCCCAATCTTAGCATGACGTTACGATCGGCATACTGTTCCACTAACCAATCTCACCTAAGTCAATCGTAAAGTTAAGATTCAAAGTCTAAGTTGCTCATGACCAACTTAGGATAGCTAAAATCAATCGTAGAGAAACCAAAATGGTGGCTTTCCTATTCTATGTGAAAAATAAGAGCGTCCCCTAAAATCCCCCATGAAATGAATTTGTATGTTTCTGTGATGTAAACAAACACTGCACTGAAGCCTTACAAATGTCAGGCCAGTCTGACCACTGTCGTCATGGGAACACAACCGAGCGAGATAGTGTAACACATTTTTACAACAATATTGCAACGTCATGGTTAAGAATAGGGACGGGTCATGAAGTGATCAGTGTTCTGAAACAAAAAGATACAAATATGTTTGATTTCACGTGCGCTTATTTGGTGGGGGATTCTAAAGGCAGGCCGCGTGTTATTCAAGACCACTGACAGATTCTACTTACGTTATAGAGGATGCCTCGTCACGCCTTGTTTATTCTGATTGACAAGGTTCAGGCACATAATAAAAGCTCTGACACAATTGACATTTTTAAGTCCAGACTTAAAACCTGTTCTCAGTATATTACTTATAATCTCGGCTGTAAATACTCGTAAATTATCTGTACATAGCTTTGAGCATGCCCCAGGATGTGGACTAGGCGCACTATAAATATGCATATATTATTATTATATTATGCCTGATACCCATCGCTTCACACACACTTGCACCTGAAACCAAGGTGCTCACTACCCTAATATTTTGCTCTAGGTTTTTTCTCCACGTTTACACTTGGTTGGAAAAATACCCATGAAGGCCGGGATTAGAATATTGAACTTCAATAACCCATGCTTGTCGTAAGAGGCCACAAACGGGATTGGGTGGTCAGGCTCTCTGACTTGGTTGACACATGTCATCGGTTCCCAACTGCGCAGATCGATCCTCATGCTGTTGATCACTGGATTGTCTGGTCCAGACTCGATTATTTATAGCTAAGATACATAGCGTTCACTAACATGAACGCTCATGTTAGTGAATGCTATGCATCTTAATTAGCTAGATTATTTACACACAGCCGCGATATAGCTTGACTATTGCTGAGTGCGGTGTAAATCTAAACTCACTCACTCACTCAGTTGGTTCGTAAACTACTTCCATCATTTGCTAGACTATGCAAAGGGAAATAACTCATGCCTCGCATTCCTCTATCTCTCTGACAAAAGAGTCTCCATCTAAGCTTGGATCGGATCATACAATCGGGACCGGCTACGATCGGCCTAAGATCGGTTAGTGGAACGGGTGTAACTTTTACCTAAGACGATTGTAAAATTGGCGTAACTTGCTGAGATTGATCTTAGTTAAGATCGGTTAGTGGAACGGCACGCTGATACCTAAACTTTGTTTGTAGCTTCTGATAAATGCGAAGTTTTCGTAGAAAGTTTTCGCTAAGAATATGATATTATTGGAATTCCCCTGATGATTTTGAATGTATTTTGCATGTAATTTGCAAAATAATTGAGATCAAATAATGACCTGAAAATGTTTTGGAACCAAGTCTTTCTGCCTGTATTGCAGGACGCCATCATCACGTCACTGCATGAGTACAACGACCACATCAAGTCACTGAAGGACGAGATGGAGGAGGCCACACAGAGTGCTGAGGAGATCAGGAAGGAGATCCAGAGCTTCAGAAACAAGTAGGACATATTTGTTTGTTTGTGTGTTGCTACTCTCAGGGATATACCAGCTGTATGACATTTAACTATAATTATTTATATATGAAGCTAACAGTGCAGTCATCTATAATGTTTGTAATCATCCACACCAAGGTGGAAAGTCACACGCATTCAACGAGGTCAACAAGCTGACCATCCTATCCACTTAGTTGCCTCATATGTGGATACAAGTGCAGGAACAATTTGTGTGGCTTCACTTGAACACTGATGGTTGAAGTGAAAACACTGTTAGTCCAAGTGAAATGAAATGCAGGAAAGGCCTGATAATATCAATTATCAGAAGCATTGTGTCCATGATTGGCATTTTGTAGATTTTCTCAAACCAAGTTTTCTCTTTTTGTTTGACTACATGACAAAGATATAAATTAGGGTTCAGGGTTATCACTATGAAGCTGCCTCAACTATTCAGAAAAGGCTTGATGCATGGTATAATATAAATGTTACTTCTCTTTGTGTGAATTTCTGCATGCTCCATTGCCTGGATGATAGGATGATTCGTGTAAACTCATATAATTGTCTTTTGAGCTTATTCAGTCAGATTTCCAGGAGTGTTATATTTCATGACAGGCTTAAGATGAAGTTCAACTGATAAGCTGTGTTTGGGATATTCTTTGACGGGCCTTCCAGTAAATGTTTGTAATGTTTACTTATTTTTTTAAATCGATACAAAATTAAAATATGCATTGATCTTTGAGTTCGAGAAAAATTGCCATGCATCATTTTAATAATGACTTGTGACAGACCCAATATATGTGTACATGTAAAGAAATTTTACAAACATGATTAATGTACTGGACAAATTTTATGTATTTTCTCTCAAATTGCTGAGGATATAAAATGATGAAGATATAAAACGATGAGGATCCTCTATAAATGATCGTATCCTATATTTCAGATACGCCTTTGTGAAAGCTGAAGACAAGTGTTCCTCCTGTAGCTACCCACTGATGGTGAGGGCATTCTACCTGTTCCCATGCCAACACAAGTTCCACATGGACTGTCTAATTGCAGATGTGCTGCCCAGTCTGTCCGGATCTAAGAAGTCCAAGGTTGACCAGTTACAGAGGAAGCTGGCAGAGAGGGATGAGTCTGTTCCGTATAGGAAGTCCACATCAGCAGCACAGCTTGGGGTCAATAAAGATGCAGACGTGAAGGTGTGTTGCAAACTTATGTAATAACCCTGATAGGAACTATACGTGTGATGTGTATATATATGAAGCTTTTAAATGGTTCTTCCTAGGTGTCTTGATTTGCTTATTAATCAGATCATAACACTAGGCTGATTGGCTTCATTATCCATTGATAACGCTATCCTGCAGATCATCGTGGCTTTTAGTTACTATAACTGCCTTGTATCTTCAGGCAGAGCTGGATGACCTCGTGTCGTCAGAGTGCATATACTGCGGAGACTTCATGATCAGGTAAGTGTTTGCTAACACATCGAAGCAGATGAGGAGCCATCATTTGATATTCTGGATCGGGGCAAGAATACTTTTGGTCACTTCTCCAAACACGCAAATGTTTTTTGCTGAAAGGAATTGTATAACAACTAAGGTTTACTCCCAACACATATTATTTTGTGCCCCAAAATATTTTTTAAAACCTGGTGCCAAAGTATTTTTAGATTTTTCTTCTGGAAGCAAATATTTTTGGGGAAAATATCACATCAAAGAGTGAAACCTTTTCTCATTTAAGTTGGAACTAGTCATTATTTACTGTAAAGGCTCAGGACTGGCGTAGTTGAGAATCATTCACCATGGACAAATACACTGAATTATACGAAAATCTTAGACTGAGCATTATAGTGAAATGGAACAAAATGTTAAATGAATTTAAATAATTATTTTAAAATAATATTGTTCGCTTTTTCAGATGTTAATTCAAAGGAAATCAAAATGCTTCATAAAGCAGAACTGCTGTGTTACTGACAAACTTACTGTTAAGTGATTTGTAGTCAAGAACTTTCATTTATATTTTCAGGTGTATCGATAAGCCATTTATTGAAGATGATGAGTGGAAGTCAGCTGAAGTGGAATGGGAATAAAGTCATGTGACTTGCTAAACCAATCAGCTTGAGGAACATCTGTCAGTAATGCTCATGACAGTGAACCATTGTGTCGTAACCAATTCACATGTACAATCAAACAGTGTTATTTATTCCACACTTTGCGAACGTCATATTTGTGAAGATACTCAAGCAAACATCATAATGACAGTGATCACCTTGCTTAAGTCAACTGTCGTTGATCAGGGATTGGTCTTGACTTTATCTCACATCAAATTTTCTGGAGGCCAGGCCAAATGCTTGCTAATTTTTCCAACAAAGGAATGAATTTACTTGTGCATGATGTGAATCAAGTCACCCACAGTGATTATGAAACATTCACATACAGTAACACTACATTGATTCTTAAGGTACCATTTCCATTGAAATCACCAGGTAAACAAATCATTCTTACAAAGGTGTGTCCTTGTCAGATAGGTGTTGATATTGCTGATGAAATCACAAGGCAAGGTCTATTTCTCTGTGATATGTCATCTGAGGTCAGTGTTGATCTAACTGCCATAATTTAACTGATATAAATGGAACAATCAGTGGCAAAGAAAAATAAGACAGGGGAAAATGGTGAAATAGCAAGCCATGTAGACAGATGCTTGCAGTCAGTATCTTGAGAGTTCTTGCATCCCAGCTCACCCTATGTAATGATATTTCAGTCTGATTAACTTCTGACTAAGCGTTCAGTGTTACTCCGTAACTCATAAAGATAAAAAGGTATTCTAATTTAGTGGCTCTCAGTTGATAGTTTTGGTAATATGCTTCCACCTTATTTAGTGAGGCAACTCTAAAAGCCATCTGAATAGGTAAGTAATTGTTATGAAGGAAAGGCTCATGCACATCCCTAACCAATGGTGGGAACTATCATAGCATTATGCTTTCTTTCTCAACTTTTGTGTGGGTTTCTAGCATCATTTCTTTATTTGCTTTTAACCCAGGACTGTAGTCTGTAAGCACTCATGTCTCACATAGGCAATCCATTTATTGAAATCATGAGCACCGATTATGCATTTAAGATACAATGCCTCAACCAGAGCAGTGTGCCTGACCTCCCAATCCCATTGGTTTCCTCTTGCAACAAACATGGAATGCTGAATAACGCCAAGTTCAAAGCAACCAAGAACAATATATATTATTTTCTGAAGGAACAGTAATGAGAGAATGTGAGCAGGCTTATTCTTATAACACATGTATAATATTTGTACATGAATCATGTGAAATCATGGCAAACTTACAGCATAATTGTACATAAATGTATGTATTATATCAATGTGAATAAAGCTGTTCTGTGTATATGTGCTTGATTCAGCTAAACAGTGACAGAAACAAAATAAACATGAATAAATCAGCAACTGTTGAGACTTATTTTGTGCAGATGTAACTTGTGTGTTTCTAGATCTGTTCAGATAAAATACAACTACATATGAAGTGACATGAATATTCCCTATTTATGTGAATCAGCTGATAAACCTGAGTGAGTATGGTTTGCACCACTTTCATCAATATTCCAGCAAAGTGGATAGCAAGGTTTTTCTTTTTACTGTTTACTGATTGAAAGTCAAGTGAGCTTAAAGCATTGCATTGTCTGTCCAGTTGTCTGTCCATCCATAAGGTTCAAATTTTCAACATCTTGAAAGCTATAAGGCCTTTGAAACTGAAATTTTGTATTAGTGATTCCAGCAATGTTCTGTCTAAAACTGTACAAACTTTGATAACTATAGGGGCAGTGGGGTAGTCTAGTGGTTAAAGCGTTGGTTCGTCACCCCGAAGACCCGGGTTCGATTCCCAACATGGGTACAATATGTGAAGCCCATTTCTGGTGTCCCCTGCCGTGATATTGCTGGAATATTGCTAAAAGCGGCGTAAAACCATGCTCACTCACTCAATTGAAAACTATAAATCATAGACCCACCACACACTGACTGGCCGCCATATGTTATCAAATTATCTGCTTACTTTGGAGAGCAATGGCAAAAACTGTGTTCAGGTATATTTCATTGAAACCAAACATGAGACCAGCTGTGGCTCAAGTTGTCATGGCGACATTTCATCATCCTAGGCATGTAGACACAGGAAAGAGTAACAAAATAAGATCATGCAAACCAATTTTCCACCGACAGCAATTTTACTACAACAGACTCCTTAAAATATACATCACCCTGTGACACCTCATAACCCTGGCCTATTACAGTTGAAAGAACTTTGCCCTTCAACTATGTCTTGTTTGGACCAGACAATCCAGTGACTGACATAGCATCCATCCATGCTGTCAGGGTACCATAACATGCTACCAACCACGTGTTTGAGCTTGACAACCTAATCCATTAAGAAACAAATTGCTACTGACCTGTTAATATCACAGGGAAGATATGGCAACAGGTACTATAGTGGATTTTCAACTCGCATGAACCTGCATGTATTGAGTAAATTCTGGCCTCCAAGTGTGAAATGTAAGCAGTGAGTTCCTTATATCCATAGAGGTGATAACAGGGTATCCTGTTCATTCGTAATGGACATTTTTGCTGATTTCATGTCTGCAAGCTTAGTGTATATAGTCCGTTTGGCTCAAAAGCGGACGATGAATTGCAATCTAACTCGAAAACTAATAAAAATACTCAATGAAACGCTGATCATAATAAAAACATCAGACCAACTCTGTGAGTTTTTTTCTGAATTTATGTCGTAATAATAAAAAAGTTGTTTAACAAACTATCATTAAAATATTGACACAGTTCACTATTTGTTACGAGGGAGGAGTGCAAAGAGAGGAACAGCCAGGTGTGCGAGAAAGGATGAAGACAGCACAGCACAGGTAAATGACTCAATAACTTTGTCTGCACTTGTGCTCGTGCGTAAAACCTGGCTGTCCCTTTCTCTGCACTCCTCCCTCGTAACAAATAGTGAACTGTGTAAATATTTTAATGATAGTTTGTTAAACAACTTTTTTTATTATTAGGACATAAATTCTGCAAAAATCACATGGAGTTGGTCTGATGTTTTTATTATGATCAGCGTTTCATTGAGTATTATATGTATATTAGTTTTCGAGTTAGATTGCAATTCATAGGTCCGCATTTGAGCCAAACGGACTATAACATGGAATGTGAGAGGTGTGTGTATTGTGGCCAGCGAAACCAATTAGTGACTGCCGTGTGTGAACACTAGTTGCATTACACTTGTGTGGTTTGACTGTCTGCATGAGAAGCTGCAGTTAAGGTTAAAACAAACCAGAGAGGAGAAGGCAGAGTAGGAATTTCAGCAATATTTGTCAGATTTTTCTTATTGACACTTTCTTTCATAAGTCCCCAAACATTTTCTATTGGATTTAGGTCAGGGCTATAGCTTTGCCAATCTAATAATGTCATATTTGGGTCCGAAACCAGGCCTGTGAATGCTTTGAACGATGTTTTGGGTCGTTGTCCTGCTGGAAAATCAACAAATTTCCATAGAACACGTGAGCAGATGGAAGTAAATGTCCCTCGAGAATATCTGTGTACCGCTCACTATTCATATTCCCTTCAAACACACAGAGGGGCGTTGCCCCTAACACAGATATGCCACCCCACACGTTAAATTTCGGACTGTACTTTGGGCGCTGATACAAAGGTTTTCAGTTTGTTTGGTCCAGACTTTCAGTGTATTAGGAAACAGCTACACAGAACTTTCATCTGAGAAAATCACATTGTCCTAGTTAAAATGTCTATGCTGTAAGCACCAGTTCAACCTTCGCTCCTTTTGTTCAGGTTTCATGATCGGTGATGGAATTCCTCGACTTTTCTGCCAACCCATTGCATGCAGCTCAGTTCTAATTGTCTCCTTACAGACAGCCACAGTTCCTCTACCAATGATATCCAGCCTTAAGTTTTCTAAACTCCTTCGTTTGTTTTTAGAAACAAGAATACCAAGCCGCCTCCTGTCACCGACAGTCAATTTTCTGGGCCTACCTGCGCCTCCCTGGTGCTTAATGCCATATCCATTTGCAATATTTTCAAAACACGATAAACAGTGGACAAAGGGACGCCTGTTCTACTTGAAATCACTTTAGCTGATCTGATGTCCTTGTTATAATACTCTAAAATCAACTTCCTCTTCTCTAAATCATCCATACTGAGGATCACTGAAAATGTCGTCTGCTAGCAAGTAAACGAAGGGGATAACTCTTCACAAACTAATGAAAAAGGATTAATGGAGTTGTCTCTCTTGAATGAAACCAAGCACTTGATAGCTGGTCAAGGTTGTTTATACTAGAAATCTAATTAAACATATTCCTAAAATTCTCAATAATTTCTGGTCATACTATACATAGAACAGAACACTGGGAACAGAGTGTCTCACAGCTACATCACTATCATACTCACATTGACATATAAATGTGTACCTGTAAAATTCATACTCTGCCTTCTCCTCTCTGGTTTGTTTTAACCTTAACTGCAGCTTCTCATGCAGACAGTCAAACCACACAAGTGTAATGCAACTAGTGTTCACACACGGCAGTCACTAATTGGTTTCGCTGGCCACAATACATACACCTCTCACAATCCAAAGCGTTGGCTCCTCACGCCGAAGACCCGGGTTCGAATCCCCACATGGGTACAATGTGTGAAGCCCATTTGTGGTGTCCCTCGCCGTGATGTTGCTGGAATATTGCTAAAAGCGGCTTAAAACCAAACTCAGTCAGTCAGTCTCACATTCCATGTTATAGTCCGTTTGGCTCAAATGCGGACCTATGAATTGCAATCTAACTCGAAAACTAATATACATATAATACTCAATGAAACGCTGATCATAATAAAAACATCAGACCAACTCTGTGAGTTTTGCAGAATTTATGTCCTAATAATAAAAAAGTTGTTTAACAAACTATCATTAAAATATTTACACAGTTCACTATTTGTTACGAGGGAGGAGTGCAAAGAGGAACAGCCAGGTGTGCGAGAAAGGATGGAGACAGCACAGCACAGGTAAATGACTCAATAACTTTGTCGGCACTTGTGCTCGTGCGTAGACATGGCTGTCCCTTTGTCTGCACTCCTCCCTCGTAACAAATAGTGAACTGTGTCAATATTTTAACGATAGTTGTTAAACAACTTTTTTATTATTAGGACATAAATTCTGCAAAAATCACATGGAGTTGGTCTGCATTGCTGCCCATGGTGACTTGACAAAATACTAACTGTTCACCTGTCTTTGAATCTGGAGTTATGTTCTGCGAATATTCACATTTAATACGTGAGTAATGAGTGAACAAAAATAAAAGATTTACAATCTTTAAATTCTCAATAATTTCTGGTTGTACTGTATAGTGTGTGCTCTGCTTCCCGCAACTAAGGGGCAGTGGGGTAGCCTAGTGGTTAAAGCATTCGCTTGTCACAGGTTCGATTTCCTTCATCGGTACAATGTGTGGAGCCCAGTTCTGACGTCCCATGCCGTGATATTGTTGGAATATTGCTAAAAGCTGTGTAAAACTATATTCACTCCCTCCATCTACTAATTACAACACAGCAGTGTATGAGGACAGTGCCAGGAAGTGTTTGATGTGGTTGTGGTGTGCTTTGTGGAGATTGTAATATAGATCGTATATTCAACCCAGCATACTTGGATCCAACGTACTTAAGGAGACATCAAGACACTGGAACACCCTCATCTCTGATTGATTGTACATTCTTACCAGCTAATCTTCAATTGTCTGTGCTGACGACCTCTGTCTGTAACAACATCAGTTATGATATACTGCGGTTGTGTCATTTCTTAGTAAGGCGTTCATAACAGAACAAAAGTTCTACACTCCCCCAATTTAAAAATCGCACAAAGGTAATGACATTAAAATACTTGTGACACTCTACCAGACCTGACACATGCTAGCACTGATAAGGGAGAATGTTGTTTTGATGCTATAGCCGGTGAGCTCTATCCACAGATCAACACCTATGTACACCCCAACACAATACTGCGGGCCATGCCGCAAACCCTAGTGAAGAGGCTGGGCTACTTTGGCACATGCATCAGGCTAGACAACAATATATACACATGGATCGCAGCACCTGTATATTCATATCATATTTATGTTTGTATGAATATTCTGACTCTTCAGTTGCACCATACATTAATTTTATATATACATGTACACATGTCATTAATAGAAGCGAGCATTACGTGCAATACTGTACCAGTCATTAACTTGATTAAGCAGCTACATTGTATAAAGTTTCAATAAACTTTTCTTAGAACTTCTAAGCAAATATGGGGCCTCCTCAACGACAACTGTTCAAATATGTCAAGTTATTGCTATGCAGAATGATGGCATGTCATCGTGGGCTATAGTAGGAGATGATGGTTGTCATCCATTGA